CTTTGGTGTTCTTGTGAGGGCGGGGGGGGGGGGGGGGGGGGGGGGGGGGGGGGGGGGGGGGGAGAGGGAAATAGAGAGATAAAGAGGTGGTAGGGAGGAATAAAATAAAAAAGAAAACATGCTCGTTATCGATTTGTATGAAAAGCCAAAAATTGTTTTGCAGCTTAAAAGAAAAAATCGAACACACACACACTAGAGAACTGCTGAGGCGTCCACAAGTTGTTCACGTGCAGAGCACATGAATTCTTGAAAAGCTTAGGGCGGATGCATGGGCTTTTCACATGATAAAAGCAAGAAAAACATATACTCAGAAATATAATATAAGAATGAGCCGCCACAAACAGTTCAATCAGTCGAACATGATGATGAGGAGCACAACCGCTCAACATACAAAGACACTCTCATCACACTCACACACATAGCACATACAACACATATCGGCGAATCACAAATCGATAACAAAGAAAATAGATCAAAAGACGGTTTCTTTCCTTCTACTCTTTTTACTCTTTTTTTTCTCTTTTTTTAAACACAAAAGATAAAAAGTAAATTTTGGCGGGTCAAGAGGGAGCGACAAGACAACCAATGAAGACGATGATGATGAAGGCGCGAGAGACAGAAGATTTCGTATTCGTAGCCATCTAATGAGATCATTATTCACGTATAATACTTGTACATTTTAATTATATTTAATTAATTTAATTAACCTTCTACACATCAACGAGATAGACAAACGCTGGTAAAGGTTGAATGGTGGACAAGAGCAGTAAGAGAAGGAATATCAGTGAGAAGCTAATGATATCGGTTATCTACATGATGATATCTATTTTCAGATGAAATCATAATTCCGGTGCCTGTTCTCAGGTAAACTATATCATATAGTATAACTAATTATATAATTTCAGTGCATTTTTGATGTTTTTTCTAATTTTACAATTGGTTCTGCTCTTCATCTTGTTCTCATCATTCAACAAGGGTATGTATGATATGAGCTTGCATTTGTCTAATTATTATACTTTTTATTCAGATTTTAATAATTTTTTGATAGTCGAACCATTGAATGAGCATGCTATTCAGCCGCTCAATTATAATTCGTCTTTCCCTAGTGCAGGAGTAAGCTTCATTCTTCCAATTAATTTGATTGTTTTGCGCATAAATGATTTGCCTGTGCTCATTCAAGAGATGACGACAGAGGTTTTTTATTTTTTTTTTTTTATTTTTACTTATTTCAAACAATATTTGAGAAATGATATAAGATAGATGATTGTTGTTATAGATTGAGATATGTGGACTGCATACGGGATTCTTGCTCATCAAAGAGGATTATCTGATATCTGGACCTCGCATTGCTATCACCTTCTATCCCCACGTCAAACTGTTTGGATCAGCAGCGTATGGTTTTGATGTTCATTCATCTATCTATCTATATATAGATGCTTATACATATCTATATATGTTTGATAAATAATAATTTTGACTCATTTACAGACATTTCATAATGACAGATGTAATGGATGTTGCTATACGTGTAAAGCTGTCAATGATGATATCCATAAATGGATTTCGAAAAAAATATTCAGAAGATATACTGTATAATGTATGTATGTCATCTGAATGTGTACAAATGACGACAAATCTAATATCGAACTACTACATAACGGATCTTAACATCTTCTAAATGCTCACACAGTGAGAAGAACTGGACATCTGATGAGATGAGATGCCAAACAGAAGAAAATAAAAATATTATGTGATTAACCTATGTTACTTATGCTTACTATACGTGCCTGCTTCCACGAAGTTAATGTATCTCTTCAATCATTGTCATCTCGACAAGTGTTCATTCATATTTGAAAGAAATTAAGATGAAAAAAATACTTTTTTTGTACTTTCCTTGTGTGATGCATGATTGATTACGATATTACACATGGAACCATTTCGTTTTTTCTTTTTTTTTTCTTCTTCAACTTCTCATTCCGTTAATCATCTCATCTGATTCTTGAAATTCTCCTTTCGCTCTCTCTCTCTCTCTCTCCCTATCTCTCTATCTATATGTATGTGTAGTTGTTTCTATTTCATTTCAGATATGAACATCTCACTCGAAGGCTTTGAGCAGATTCCTTTTAAGGATGATGATTCGCATCTGAAGAGATCAAAGACGATTCCATTTCGTAAAATGTAAGTTTATATATACAATCTATTATTATTATTATGTTATATGATGTTGAGCATGTGCATGTGTGCTTTCTTCTCTTCTTTTCCTTTCCAGGCTACTAGACATCGCTTTTATCATAAAAATTTTCTTCGCTCTTATCCTTTTTGCTTTCATATACATGAAGCTCAAACACGGTTAATTATTATATTTATTTATATTATATATAATATGATGTTCTTTTCAGAATTAACACCTAGTCCTATCAAACTGTTTCTTAGTTACACAAATGGCACAACAATCACAAATACAAGCATCTTGCGAGCCAGTGCAAACGATCCATCCATACAATCAGAGATGCTATTTCATTTTTCTGTAGAACTTCGACAGCCCATTAATCAAACGACTATTATTCAATCTATTGAAGTGCATGTAAGCTTTGAAAAATATTATTTGTTTCCTCTTCTTTTTCGTTTTTCAACGTACTTTCACATATAGATAGCTCATAATCATTTTTGCAGTCAGAAAGTGATGGCCGAGTAACAAGAATGACAAACTACATGAGCAGCTATCTATTCAATGAGACATCAACTATCTTTGATCTATCTGCACGTCTACGATTATCATTAACAGAGAAGTGAGCAAAAAACTAAATGATGTTGTTGTTGTGTTGTTAATGTCATAATGATGATCATCATGTTCATCATCTGCTTGATGTAGATGATGATGATGAAACAAGCTGATGATTGACATCATCATCATCAACATGATCAACACACAACATAATCATGTAATGAATCTCTTGTTCTGTCTATCTCATTTCAGTCGTCAATGTTTTGATGTGGATGAGCCGGATGGCTTTATTCAATTTGCTACTCAGATCTTTATTAACGTAGGCGAAGGTAAAGCTCAACGTATTGGATTTTCGAACAAGCAACACTTCAAATCGTGCTGCGTTCGCTTTTGCACACCTTTTTAAGATAATATAAAGAGAGAGAAAAAATAAATATTTTTGTTTTGTTTGTATACTATGTGTTTGATGAAAGGTAATGAAAGAAACAAATGAATAACCTAGTTTAATAAGAAGCAGATGCCTTAAGGTATAGAGAGAGAGAGATAGATAGAGGGAGATAGACATATAGAGAGAGATTAATACCCGTTTCGAAGAATTCTTTCAGAAGAAAAATTTTTTCAAAAATTGAAGAAATCAGAAGATCTATACTTCTGTAATTTCTCGTTGAAGTTTGATTGAAGCAAAAAGAGAGAGAGAGAGAAGGAAGTAAGAAAACGAAAGAAAGTCTGTTTCAGCAAATATTCAGAGGACATTTAAGGCGATCAGTTTCTAAAGCGACAGAGAACAAACAGAAGAAGATGTATGAGACGATCATAATTATTCCAAAGATTTTGTTCATTCTGAAATGCAACAAAATTAGATTTGACAGAAAAAAAGTAAAACATACTTCCAGGCGGAGACGAAAATACTGAAAACAAGGACAACTAGCATGATAAACAGCATTCCAACAGAACATAATAAGCCTTTGCTAAAACATTTTTTTTATTCGCATTTTGGGTTTTTTTTTCTTCTTTTTTTCCTGCTGCAACAGCAGCAGCAGCAGCAGTAGCAGTTTCTCTCTTCATAGGACCCCTTTGCTTACCTGCTAACGGAAATCGCTTCTGGCAAAACACCAGATCGCATGGGTTCCCAAACGAAATACAAAAGCCATGGCACTGGCAGTCTAAAATACGATGTACGATGCCCGTTTACCCATATGTGTACGTTTTTAACAAAAAAAAAATAAAAATAGTTGGTGGTAGCCCTTACCCGACACAAACATCAAATATGTTACTTCCGACGGAACTGCTAACGGCCATGTCTCCCAAACCTTTTCGAGCTACGATGACACTTTAAAATGAATAATATAAATATAAAATTGAAATTTATGTCAGCTATTAAAACCTTGTGATCAGATCGGGAATGCTTGTGCCGGCAGCGAGAATTGTTAGTCCGATGACCTTAAGAAACATAACATTGAAATTAAAAAAGAAGAAATATGATCACTTCGGTCGGAATGACAAGCGTCTCGCCAATGGTATTAGCCCACCAGACCATCAAGTATGAGAAGAAGGCAATCCATAAGATGGAAACGACAAACGTGACTGGATACCATTTGCGACAATCCTTGATAAGGAAGGGGGAAAAACAAAAAAAGATTATTCTATTGTATTTCATATTACTTACAGGCTTTCGCACATCCGGAATTGTTACCCACATGGGAATTAATATGGGAGCCAAGCATACATAAGTTAATCGTTTAAGCCATTCATCTGGCCAAGACATATCCAATGGTTGTTCTTCCTCCTCTTCCAATAATGATTTCTGGAGAAAAAAGGAATTGTCATCTGAACCAAATGCTCCAAACATACAATTTCCTCAATTTGTGATGATCGTCGATCAATGTGTCGAGCAGGAATTGTGAGTTCAGTTTGTTTGGCAACATTTGGAGCAGCTTGATGATTTAAAGCCACTGACTTTTCAGCAGATCTTCGGGATGTATCATCTTCTTCACTTTCCCCTACAAAACGATATGTTGAATAACCAATAGCAAAGAGGAGGAAGAGAGAGAGAGAGAGAGAGAAGGGGGTGGAAGGCTGAGTTGAGAATGAAAAACAAAATTTTCTACAAACCTTCCGGAAGTTGCTCCAACGTGTGATTCATAAGCTGCATAATTCCTGTTCGGAACATAGTTCCTGAATGCAGAATTGGAATTGATTGACGTCTTCCAAGAGATGAACTTCTTAAACATCAAAGTAATTAGAATGAAGATGAAGCTGTTCTCATTCGCATTCTTTATCTCTATCTATTTATGATTCTGAATCTTCATGAAAAAATCTTTTCATCAACAGAATCAGAATATAGAGGATATGAGAGAGATTGAGATTTAGAGAGATAGAGGGATTGACACGAACGATTTGAGAAAGATAGAGAGTATATAAGTGAGTAAGGAACGAACCTTCGCAATGAATGACTTCTCTCACTTCGATAGATATCTTCAGGCTCTTTATATTCTAATGTATTCTGTATAATGTTAATTATATATAATATGTTCTATATAGTTATAGAAAACAAACATTATTTCCATTAAGACGTGCATTTATGGGCATTGAATTATTGAGTGATGCATTCTCTTCAGCATCAGCTTCATCCAACGATTGTCCCAAAATTTTTGTTTTAACAAAAATCTAAAAAATAAATTTTCTTTTGCATTACCAATTACAACAGCGACGAACGAACCTCTATCTTGACGTTGAACTTCATTAGCATACAATAAAATAAATAAACAATGAATAAGGATAGAGCTTCCGGCCAAGTGATCTATAGGGATGCATTGTTGATATATTGAATACAGCCATCTACAACTCACTTTCTCATCCAAGAAGAAGAGGACAAGCATTGCTAATGCTATCATATATATTGTCACATCTCTATAATATTATATATATAGTTATCTAGATAGTTAACTATGCAAATTATATACCTAAACAATGGCCACCATGTAAGCTGTAGCACGGTGGTTGAAAATAAGGTACAGCAAGCGAGTACACACAAGATGTTGAATGTAGCACTTCCTTCAATATATTTATAATATTATATTTTATATATCATAATGTAGTATGTACCTACTATTGTACCAATTCCAACATTATTTTGAGCTATAAACACTCCAATGACTGACGTAAAGAATTCTGGAGCTGATCCTGAAAAAAGAAGAAAAACTGAACGATGAACTCTGACATTGTTTGGAAATGGAAGAATGGAATGGTAAGATGTGACAGAAATAGATTCAACGTTGTGTGAACCTTACCTCCTGCAGCCATGAATGTTGCTCCGGCTACGTCATCCGAAATTGAAAGTTTTTCCGTCAGCACAGCTAACGATGGCACAAAAAATTCATCACAAACAATGGCTAATGCCACGAACATATAAATAAGGCCACACACATGTAGTAAGACTGCAAGATATGTTATCTGTATAGATCAATTCATAGATCAATTTTGTTTACCAGCTCCTTTTTGACGCTGCTCAATGGTAAAGTAATCTGGAGGAAATTGGCCATCCTCTTCTTCAGCTAATGCATCTGACTTCTTTATTAATTTTGTACTGAAAATGGAAAGCTTGCTGAGTTATGCTAATCATCATCATCATCATCATCATCATCATCATCATCATCTCCTTCTTCTCATTCTAAGAAAGATAGAGAGTGGGGGAAGGAAAGGAAGGAGGGAAGATGCAAGAGAAGATGATGGAAGGATGGCTATTCTTCATTCAAACCTGTTATTGCAAGTTGGCAAGAAAAGCTTGTAAAATGGCTCTGATGCTACAAGTGCATTTGTTGAAGCTTCTGAAACAGCTGACGAAGATGTAGAAGATTCCAACAAATTTTTATCGGAATTTCCGGCATTTCCAAATAGGACAAGAAGTGTGACAGCCAGCAGCGAGATAATCAAACGAATTGTTCGTTTTGTTAATAAAAATGAGTTGTTTGATGGAAGCATGTACGTTCTTCTCTCTAAAAGTTGAATATATTAAATGGGACAAAAAGAGAACATATGTAGATGTAAGATCATATTACGAGAGAATTCCCTCTCTCTCTCTATCTCTATCTCTCTCTCTATATATGTCTACTTCTGCCTTACCAAATCCTTTATGAAAAAAAATGAAAATATTAATTGTTGGATGTGCAAAAAGCAGAAATGCCTAAGGCCATTCACTTGCCATGCCTCATAAAGCCGACCTCCGTATAGATAAGATAGGAGGACAGCAAATGTCAAAACAACAACAACTTTTTTTTCCTTTCTTCTTTTTTTTTTTCGAAATAAAAGAGCAAAAGTTAGAGAGAGAGAGAGGGAGAGATCAGAAGAGAGAGAGAGAGAGACATCAATAAAGAGACAGTGAGAAAGATCAGCACATGAGAAGGACATCAATAAAATGAAAGAGAGAGGTAGAGATAGAGAGAAAGAATGAAAATATTAAAAACGGAAGTTGTTGGCATAAAGTTATTTCTCGAGATTGTATTTAATTAGTTTCGTATGGAAACTCCTGGAAGTATATATATACGATATCAGATTACCTATACGAACTCAGAAGAACTATCTTCAAGCGTTTTCTCTCTCTCTCTCTCATGCTCCTTCTTCTTACATTCATAACTCTCTCTTACTCACTTTCATTTGCATAAAACGTGAAAGACGTGGGCAGGCATATATTGAATGTAGAACGTATTGAACGGTTGAGCTTTATCCTTTCTCTCTTTTTACATCTTCTCCACCCCTCCCTCGCTCACGTTCCCCCCAACCCCTCATCTCATCTCACTCATTCGATCTCTCATTTTTCTCTCTCTATCTCTCTCTATTTCATTCCTCTCTCTCTCTCTATATCCATATCGCACTCTCTTTCTCCTTTTATTCATCTCTAATAAAAGTCTTTATTCAATATTATTATTATTGATGTTAATATTGGAAAGACACGCAAAACTCACTTGGTATGTTTTGAAGAAGATTTAAGTCGGCTGAAAAGTGATGAAAGTATGGAACAGCCTCAAGCGATTTCTTTATTTCGTTTTAGTGAAAAAGGAAACAGAGGGCAATACAACTTCAAACTAAGAGAGCAGTCAGCTAAACAGACAAAATGAGAATGAACTTGTTTTAATCAAATTTTGATTTCCAAATTGAACGAAATAACATGAACGTCGTCAAATCTCGTCTTCTTCGTCTTTCTTTTTTTTTTTTTTTTTTTTCGTCTTTTTTTTTTATTTCTTGTGAGGTCATTAAATTTTTGGTCGTCGACGTTCTTTATTCTGACTTCGACGTTTGACAAACGTCGTCAACAACAAGAAACGTCTGCTGACGTAATGGACTTCTGAATCAAATCTGATGAAGTTGCACGTCGTGTTCATCAGGAACGAAATGTTTCATTGAGCAACGAAAATAATTCGTCAGATCTCACTCTTTCGAATTCTCACAATCAGCCCAACCTTCTCTGTTTCCTTGTGTCTCGCTCTCATTCCCTCCCTGCCTCCCTCCCTCCATCAATCTACTACTCGGTATGACTATCCACGAAAGTTTGGTTAATTCGAACGAGCCAATGTGTGTTTTCATTTTTTGTTTTTTTTCTCAAAAAGCATAACAACACAATGACATTAGTCGTTGAATGATAGAACCTCTATTCCCTGAGGGCGCATTGTGTGCTTCAGAGGATTCGAAGCACACAATTCACGTGAAATGAGAAACACCCAGCAAATTAAGTTCATAATGTTGTTGATTGAAATTTAATTTGGAACATTCACAAAAAAAAGGAGAGAAAGGGAACGAGAGAGAGAAGGAGCAAAAAAAAACAAAGAAAAGATTCAAATTCGCATCCTGCAACAACATTTAATGGCTGAATGACAAGCTGCCGTCGACAGCAAAACATGTAAAGGTTAACGTGCCGCGTGAATGGAATCACGTCAAGTGAAGCATTCAAATGTTTAAAGATGTTTTGGAGACAGTAGTTGTATGTATTTTTAAAAAAAAAAGAAAAAAAGAGAGAGAGAGAGAGAGAGAGAAAAAAAAAATTATTTTTTCAAACTATATAGGTTTCTCACTTATTCTCTCTCTCAGTCGCTATCTCTCAATCCAGATCATTCACTCCCTCCATTCTTTTTCCCTCTTTCTCTCTCTCTCTCTCTGTCTCTCTTTCTCTTCATCACATTCTCTTTCAAGGCTTATTCTTTGGGAAAAAAAATACAATTTTTATAAAACGTCAGTAAATAAAGTTGTCAGAAACACGCAGGTAGTCAATAAGAATTTAAAGACGAAAAAGGAAATTTAAAGCTTACATCCAAATAATTTCGATTTGAAATTGCTATCCGGAAAAGGTTTTTTCAATTACTTTTCTCTTCCTTCAAATGAGGATGATGATGAGGATGATGATGATGACCAACTTTTACACTATTAATATAGTCATCATAGCATCATTGCTCATAATCAGCACGCAATAAGAAAATATTTGAATAATTCTGAATTTTAAAGAGAAATTGGGGATGAAAAAATAGTTTGAGAATATGAGATTAGGAGAGACGAAGGCTGCTGCTTTGACGACGACGGAATTGAAGATGTTGCTTGCGCTCTGTCAAAATGTTTGAAAAAGCAAAATGGACATTGGCGCCGGAGGGTGAGATGAGATAGATGGTGAGGAGAAGCCACTCAACCACATGTGAGAAAGAGTTTAAAACATAAATAATTATGCGATGATTAGTTGATTAGGGGCTTGTCTGCTTGCTAGCCAGAACATGGAAACCACAGAAACACGGCTGAGGGATGAAGAGAGAGAGAAAGTGTGAGAGAGAGACCGAACCAGCACAGATGGATATGTCTGTTGTGTTGGTCGGTTTTAATTAATTTTTTGGACAAAAATTTATTTTTTTTTTTGAGGAAGAGTAGGAGGAGAAACGTCAGAAATAGATGTTGCGGACACATACACACATACACTCAGGTTTTCCGGATGGGACTCAATATGGCCATTTAAGGATTTCACTGCTTGAGTGAATTGCTGAAAGAACTTGTCATTCCTTTCATACATTTACATTTAATAAGTACTTTGATGAATAAATAGAAATAGGGGAAGTTTTTTTTCTTAACGTCAGAAGTAAGATTGGCGTGTGAGGTTTCGTTCACGTAGACTAAACGTGAAGCTTCACGTGAAGCCCTGTTCGCCTGAAGCGCATCATTTCATTTTCAAAAGCCGAAGATGAACGGTTGTGTTTTGAAATGAAATAAAGTTTTTCTCTCTTCTTCTTTCTTCAATACAAGATGAAGAGAGAAAAAAAAGGAAAGTTACGGACAAAGTTTCACGAACAACAAAATGCTAAAAGAGAGTGAGTGAGAGAGGTATATATAGAGAGAGATGGAGAGATAGAGAGAGGTGTGTAGAGAGAGAGAGAGTGAAACGATGAAGAAGAGAGAAAGAAGCCATATTCATTTGATCAAAGAAGAAGGAGAGGAAGCTTTAACTGTCTCAAAAACTCATAGAGAAAGACGGTGAGAGTTTGTGCCGTTTATTCAAGAATGGCAGCTGTGTCTCCAAAGGCAGCAAGAAGACAAAAGAATGCAAAAGAGGAACAGAGAATGAATTCTATTTCTTTCCATCGTCGTATTTTCTGTTAAAATTTCAAATATGGATAAGCCCTAAGTTTGTCTATTCATTCTAGCTGAGGCAAGCTACGAATGACCTGCCTGAGGATGTTGCAAAATATCGTTCTAAAGATAGAGAGAGAAGATGAATAACTGAAACTTAACAATAATCAATCTTCTCCAAAGAGATTTCTAAGACAGATAATAACTTTTGTTAAACATATAAAGCTTCGAAGTAAGATAATGAGAGCATTGTTATGGGACGGAAAAAAGAAATTCTGAAGCGTCGAGAGTCTTTTGAAGCTTTTTCAGTCCTTTAAATCCTCTTTTGGAACTAAAATGAAAAAAAAAGAGAAAAAAAGACGAAGAAGGAATAAATCTATGTTTCGCTAACCATTCAAATCGAAATTGTTTATTTAACTATGTCGAACAGGCTAGATAAGAAGCTGAAAACGTCCATCATAGAAGCTTTGATGGCGAACAAGAGAGAGAAGGCATAACTACGAGAGAGAGAATAAGGATATTTATGCTATAATCCTTCCAGAAATCACAAAAGCTGGCCATGAAGAGGAAAAAAAATGACGTTTGCTGCATTAAACGGCAAAAAGGAGAAGAGGAATCAAAAAAAAATAAGACAAAAGTAGGAAAATAGGAAATATTGAGGAGAAGCAGAAAAAAAAAGTTTCTTTTTATGGTCTCAACACTACTTGCGTGAGAGTGAGCCTGAGCAGCGCACAGCTGTAGCTGTAGCAGCCGTTGCAATAGCTCTGCACACACCTCATCTGGATGGATGGTGGTTGAGCTCGCATACGTGCATTGCCAGTCAAAGAGGTATTTTGGAGGTAATTTAATATGATGATTGATGTTGACACTATTAGTTGTAAAGTGATAAGTTAGGAAAAGGAGCAGCACAATCGTAAAGCCTCACACGACCTAACGGATTGTTATATATAAAAATGCATATTTTTATTAATCCTTAAAATATTCTTAAGAAACAAAAGATGAATAGAAAGAATAGCTCTTACACACACTCTTGCTCTCTCTCTTAGCAGGTAAGTTTTTATTTTTTTCCTTTTTTTTTTTTTTTGTATTTGTTGCTTACTCTCATTCTTCTCCTCCCTCCCCCAACTCACTCCTTAACTCTTTTCTCTCTCAAAAACTCTAACACCTCGTTTTTCTCTGATCTCTCTCTACACCCTTTATTCTCTCTCTTTACAACAAAGGTGACAAAAAAATAACAAGATATGATTCATAACAAGCTTTATATGGCTATATGCAAAACATGAAAATGTCAAATTTTCAAGTTGAATGCCTTTGTAGAAAACATGAAGAGCCCTTGACTTCTTTTTTTCAACCTTACTGTCGCTTAAAAAACAGTTTGTAGTATGTAGCTCTCTGTTTGCAATGATTTCTCATTTTCTCTCTCTAACTCTCTTTCTTTTTTCTCAATTCTTTGTAAAGCTTGAGCTTCTCTCTCTCTGTTTCTGCTTCTGTCGTCTTCATTCCCTCCACACACACACTCCCTCTATTTCTCATTTTTGTTCGGACTTGTCAATTCATTTGCAAATCTTTGTGAATTTCCGAAAACATTTGAACATCAGCAAATCAAAAGTAAGTTTACAATTGCAGTACAAATGTTAATACTTAAAGAAATTTGGGAGATTAACAAACATGCAGATAGAATTTCATGTTCACATCATATAACACATAGCGTTGACATGCAAATTAGGCTTGTTTATGAACGCTTTCACGCGTGTTCACGTGGAGCATTCATTCTGAGCCTGGTCATTTGTTGGACAAATGATTGGTTGAAGCGGTTGCGTTCAGGAAACAGCTTTCAGTATAAACGCTGAAATTGAAGTTGTGAGGTCTCATTAGCACCTCATGCCACATTCAAGCTCTTCACTATAAACAATTCGTCAACATCGTCAAGGAGGACAAAAAAGAACAAAACGACTGGTCGTAAAGGCTTCTGACTGCTTCCGTCTTTCTAAGAGCTTCATTTCAACAAATTGCCTTCAGGCGATTTGTGAACGATTTCGTTTGTCGATTAAAAAATTGTTTTATTCTCTGACTCTCCCAGTACTGCATGCATCTCTCTTCTTTTGTGACTTATGAGAGTCATTTTATTGTTCAAAATTCATGATTGTTCACAACTTGCATCATTTGGAGAACAACTCAAAATTCCTCGTCTCAACCACAAGTTGTTATGTCGCATACATCTATTCATGCAAGCTCTCTTTTGGAGAAAAAAGTTTTTTTTTTTCAAGAGGATTCTTTTGCTCACCCTCATTCCTTTTTTCTTTTCCTTTTTTTCTCTCGTCTCTCTCATCTTTGAATCTCTCTCTAACTCCCTCTCTGTTAACATTCAGGTAAAAATGAAATGAAAGATGTTAAAGAGAGTAAAGAGACAACAACAAGAAGATTGAATCATGATTTAGCAAAGCAGTATTAATGTATTCACAGAATGGCCTTTGAAATAAAACAAAATTGAAGAAAAGAGGAAGAAAAATAAAAACAAAACATCTTTAGGGCAAGGCTTTTAGTCCAGAGGGAAGCTTCTACATTGATTTCGACCGGGGAAACTTCCTCCAAATGGCGATTCGACTCTTGCCAATTTGATTGAGACGGCAGCGAAATCAGCAAAAAACGCGAAATATTATTGAATTCCTCAACAAATGTTTATTTTTCTTATAATACTTCACAAGGAATAAGTTTACAATTCAATTCCGCTTCTAACATTCGAGGAATTAACTAAACCAATTGGAATCATTTGAAGGCATTCACTACTAGCTGACCGCTCGGATCACATTTTTTTCATTTTAATTTAACTCATTTTAGGACATGACTTACTTTGATTAACTTCTTTATAAGGGGATGAAGGAAGAAACGTTTAGAAAAGATCAAAAAGAGAATTCAAAAGCAAACAAGAGAAAGCCATAGAAGGCTCGGCTCAGCCACTAATGCAAGCTCAAAAGATATTTGGCTGTCGTACACAAAAGAATCCAAAGACAAGCCATCTGCCCTTCCGTTCAAAAGACATTCTTCCAACTAAGAGAAACCTGATTCATCTCGAACCAGTAAAAAAAGACATGACATAGACCATTTTCTTCTCAGCTAAGAGCAATACTCAGATCTATTCAGAGAAGAACATCTCTAAGACTAAAAGCCTCCTTTTAGATAATAAATTCAATTTCAAAAACTTCGCGAATTGCGAGGACATAAGATTACTCGAAAATTTTATTTGAGAACGATAGAAATCATCGGTTTAAATCATGAAGCAAAATACCAGCCTAACACAAAATCCCATGCTAACATTGCATGCAGTGCAATGAAATAACTTAAAAATTAAAAAGCTTTCTCTATTTAGATCATCAGCTACGACCATATGTTAGAATTTGCCATCTATTCACTTGGTGACATCATGTAAAGCCTTAGCCAGATATCCGACATTATTTGAAGAAATTCCAGCAACAGATATACGTCCGTCTTTGGTCAGATATACAGAATGGTTCTTGGTCAGCTTTTCAACTTGATCAGGAGAGATTCCGGTGAAACAGAACATTCCAATTTGGTTTGTGATGTGCTCCCAGTTACGGGTGGATCCTTCCTTGGCCAAGAGATCCTTCAATTGTGATCTCATGGTGATAATACGGTCAGCCATTCCCTTAACGTCGACCAACCTTCAAAGTATCCGAAAAAATTAAAACTGTAACGCATGACTACAAACCATTGCTGCTGGAGTGCGGGGTCATTAAGAATTTTAGAAGCAATTCTGGCTCCGTGAACTGGAGGGTTAGAGTACATTGGACGAATCAGAATTTTTAATTGAGAAGCAACACGGGCAGCTTCATCGCTGTCTTTAGCAATGATGGAGAATGCTCCGACTCTTTCACCTAAACATAGGTCATTACTTGAATATTCTATGTTAACCCCGACCATAAAGACCCATATTCTTGGCGAAGGATTGAGCTAAGGCGATGTTGTGTCCTTGTTCAATGAAGTACCTGCAGAACACTTTTGACATCAACGAGCTTAGAGCTCACAAACCTAACGGCGAAGGCGTCACCATCGACATTTCCAGATGCGAAACCTTGGTAAGCCATGTCGAAGAAAACGAAAAGTTCATTTTTCTTGCAAATTTCGGAGATTTTCTTCCATTGTTCCTTCTAAACTCATAAAGATATTTGAAATACCCAATATTGACTAACGCTTGGATCTACTCCAGTTGGGTTATGAGCACAAGCATGGAGCAAGATAGCGGAGCCCTTGGGGATTGAGGCGATGTCGGCAAGTGCACCAGCTTCGTCAAATCCACAAGTTGATTTGTCATAATAGCGATAATTCTTAACTTCAACACCAGAAAATCTTTAAAAAAAACCCTTCGTCAAAAACTTGTTCAATTTTCATACTTGAAGACTGGGACATGGTTTCCCCATGTTGGGGTGGGTTGGTAAATCACCTTGCTTGGAAGGAACTTGGACTTAAAACATTTTTTTGTGAAAAAAAAAGCTTTTAATGAAACGAACAATGAACTCAGCTCCCACTCTGAGAGCACCAGTTCCAGAAATAGTTTGCATTGTTGTAAATCTCTTAGACTTTATAACCTCCGAATCTGCTCCAAGAGCCAGCTTGGCAGCATGATTGGTGAAATCTGCTATTCCTGGAAAACGAACAGATTCAAATTGCAGTTCTCCTCTCATTAGCTATAATACCAGCGATTCCAGCGTATTCTTTGTCCAGTTTCTCAGCTACTATTCTTTGTTCAGCTTCGCGAACAGATGGAAGAACGAATGGTTTTCCCTAAATGTAATATTCTAATATTTCTTTGCCCAATTAGCCTCACTTGGTCATCACGATAAGCTCCTACTCCCAAATTCATCTTCTTGGGGTTAGAATCAGCCTTGAAGGCCTCAGTAACACCAAGAATAGCATCTGGAGGTCCCATAGCTACCTGGCTCCACCAAGCCCTTCAAAAAATGTATAAGATTAGAGCAAAGGCATCCTACTTGTTCCTAACGGAAATCTGTAAAAATCCGCGAGCAGCTGTCAACTTCATTCTAGTCTAAAACATAAGAATAAATACAACAATTGAACGCACTCCTCAAGAAGTTTCATTGAAAATCAGAAATTTACAAGAACGGCATTTTCAGATGAGAACGAAAACATTTTATTTGCAGAGACGGAAATTTCCGATAAGAAAAAATGATGACCCAGAGTCCAAGAAAGAAGATAAAAACCAATGAACAAAGAGTCAAAAGCGGTAGCAAACGCAGCAAAAATACTTGAAAGACAGTGCTTAAACAAGATTATTTATAAAAAATGTGGAAATCAACAAAAAAAACGAAACCCTACCGAATTATCCGTTGGCACTTACCAACCTGGCAGCTGTTGGCAAGCCTCTGAACTTGCGCCTTGTTGCCCCTTAAATGCGCCAAGCACAAATTTGTTGACATTCCCATTTTTCGCGGGAAAGATAAATTTACAATTTTCAACTGATTAACCACTAGACTACTTCTTAAACTCCGGAAAAGCCCCTTATTTGAATATTTAACCCTAAAATCTAACAAAAATGGAAGAGTTTGATGATTTTAATGACATGTTTGGAAATGATGACTTGATGGAAGATCCGGTTGAAAATGACAAAGGTAACACTCCTCGCATCGAACATCCGCCGGATAATTTCTCTTTTTAAGTACCTACTGACGCTGATATCTTTAATAGTTTATTTGATGTTGATAAAGAGCAAAAAACCAAACGTAGACTTATTCAGAGACCTCAACCTAAGCTAAATGAAAGTTCTCTAGTCGGACCAAAGGTATTTCTAAGGTCTATATGATGAAGAATGGAAAGCTTTCTAGGGTATTCCAGCCCTCCGTGATATGTTCAAAGAATACAAGCCTAATAAAGATCTTGATCCCGTGAGTATAATTCTTTTTCTGATATAATTTTGCCATTTAGTACTCTAATTTGAACCTTGTTATGAAGAAGTACGAGCATTGGGCTCATTTGTTGTTTCCTAAAATGAAATTTGACGATGTGATCGCACGTTGTGAAGCGCTGGGAATGAGACGAGTTGTTAAAGTAAACACTTTCTTCTTTTGTTTCGTAAAGCAACGAGATGTTCTAGGTATACATGATGAAGTCAAGATCGGGTATGCCACTGACGGACGAAGATTTCGCTAATGCGGATGATAAGGAAGACAAGGATGCTGTTATAACAACTGATTGCGATGAGGATCGAGCCGAAGATCAGGCATCCAACCAAGTTCAGGGGATTATTACAAGCAGGGATGAAGATGATGATGATGAAAACTATTATGATCCTTTTGCCGACCAACGAGAGGAAGAGCCCGATTATGCTGATTTCCCAGATTTATAAAATTTAAGTTACCAAACTAATTTGTAAATAGGTTTTGAATAAACGTATGAATTCGTTTTCTCTATGTGTCTGATTTCAACAAAATAATGATATTACGTTTAAATGATATGATTTTCATATAATTGTTAAATGAAAATCTGCTTTAATAGCCTCCAAGCTATGCAAACTAAGCAGCGTTTCCTCAATCCATTAATGTCCTATTAAACTACACCGCGCCCCGATTTGCGTATTAATTATTTTTGTTGCTCCTCCAATGTTTCGTGGAAGTTTGGAGTTTATTGTTTTCATCATGAAGTATCTGTTTTGGTTCGTAGTAATCATAGGGCTTTTTAGTTTGTGAGAATAGAAAGAACGGATAAAAATAATGGCGACCGTTCCCGCAAAAGTGGAAGTGAAAACCGAGGTATTGCTTGGAGAGTGAAAATAAGATAGCATTACGATTAAGGTCGCTGACATCGGTGCCATTGAAGAGGAACTCATACGGATAATTCAATCAACTATCGATGGCGTCGATATGGATCATCTCACAGCTTTAACAGCCACATATTCACCGGTTGACCGACAGGTATAGAGATAGAATAAATCGGTAAATGCATCTGAATCTTCAGAATGCTGTTAACAATCTACTATCTTCTAAACGTGTTGTGATAGCTCAATCTCCAGGGGGAGGGTTGAGACTGAAGATTAATTTTAATACCCAACTAAGTGGAGCAAGTGATGAAGAACAAGTGGTATGTGCATGCATTTCATTTACGACCTTTTAATTCGCTTTTAGATTCACTCATTGATTGAAGATTCCAAAACAAAAGGTATTTGGATTAGGGAATTGAGAGATGGTTCTGGCTTATCCCAAATTCAGCTTCGGAAGGTTTTGAAGTCTTTAGAAACGAAAAAGTTAATTAAAACAGTGAAAGTAATACCTCCTACGACTTTCTTCGATTTGCATTTCGCTATTAGGCTGTTGGAACGACGAAGAAATGTTACATGCTCTATAGCTTAGAGCCCGATACGTCTCTCACTGGAGGAACTTTTTATTCGGATCATCAACTTGATTCTGAGTTGATTCACACTCTAGTTAGTGTCTGTACGGGATATATCCAGGTTATAAATGTATGATTGAAACTCAGATAACTTTAACATTCAAGGCTAAACGAAAACATGCTATGGAAATGCATCCTGATGATCTAGCGATGCAAAAAGAGCTAAGCTATATAAAAACTCAAGAGGTAATTCGATTTAGACGGCATTTTCATGACTCTTATTGAAGGTTTCTGATTTCATCATTGAGAAGAGACTGTTGAACGTAGCCATTAGCTTAGACGACGTAAATAGGATTTTGGATGTTGCCATCCTTGATGGAACAATAGAACGACGAGCTGATGGCAAAGTAAGTTATTTTCCAAAATATTTTTGGGAATGCTGTGATTTTACAGGTACGAGCATCATCAAAAACTATTTTCTCATCCGCAATGGTTTCTGTGCCTTGTGGAATTTGCCCTGTAGTTGATGATTGTAAGCCAGGACATGTGATTGCACCTGAGAAATGTGGATATATGTCAGATTGGCTCTCAGGGAAATAACTAAGTTCTCGTTTTTTTTGTTTTTTTTTGTTTTTTTTTTGTTTTTTTTTGTTTTCTGCTTGTTTTCTCTTTGTTTTTTCTCCAGTTTTCCGATTTAATCGTTCCTTCCAGAATGTGAACTTGTTTTAAGATAAAGATTTATCACAAATGAGTCAGTAATCTTTATGAATTGAAACCTATTTTTACAATTCAGAGACATTTTGATACATATAAGTTGAATGGAAACACATCAGCTCTTGGCATTTACTCCATCTCTTGATTTTAGATCAGAGATTATTCGCTGCTGGCTCTATCGGCTGGAGCTGGTTGAGCTGGTTAGGATGGGCTGAGAACTGGCGATCCACCAAATTCTAGGACTAAAACGGAGGTTAGTGAGAGTACACTGGGAGGAGCCCTCAGCTTGTTTTTCAATTTGAGCAGAGCTCAGAATGAGGGATAATCTATCAGGCGATACAGTTAAGTGATCCATTTTGTTAGTTTTTGGACCAAAAGTTTAGTCTCTTGTGAAGTTTCTTGGAACAGACGCGCATACACTCTCATAAGTAGTATAACTCTCAAAAGAAACTTTTTTCGTCTCTGAGTTCGAATTTCACCTTTTGCTCCATTGGGTCCGCTGAACACATCGCATGTACCCTTGCCACCATTACTTTCTTCGAATTTCTATGCCGATTTTTGTTATACGCATAGGTTTTCTTGTTATTATCTCGAAAAGATTGTTGTTATTTTTGTTTTCTGTTATGATTAAGATGGTGTATTTTTGTTTTCTCTGCTTATCTATCACTAATTTTCCAGCTCACTTTCTTGTTTGAAAAAATGAATTAACTTTCTGTACCGATTTAAAATGTCGTCTTTGTTTGTTTTGCTCTGCAGATTACCTTACGTCAGCTTGTACGTACGTAATTGCTTAGTATTGACAAAATATCTTAACACACTATACCCATAGGGAAAGTGAGAGAAGAAGCCACCAAGTCACCTTTTTTTGGCCCCAGAGAAGACATTATGATGTGTCCTGTAGAGATGGTGGGGGGCGTGTCAATGCCAATAGTTTTCTTCCGGTGTACATATGAAATCTTGAAGTGGAGGCGGAGCGCAAGAATGATCTCGGCTGACTTCGATTCCTGAAGAAGAGCAGAGCAAGCATCTTCACTGTCATCCCCCTAATTCTTTCCGGCTAAATGTTCAATTCACGACGTATAGTGACAGGTATGGATTACATCCATTGTTATTAACTGATGCCATTACATTGCGACTGAAAGTTTACACGAGAATTATATCGACGAGATAAAATGATTAAAAAACTGCTTTTATTGTAATTGAAAACAGCAGATATGTGAGCTTATCCAGACTGCTTCCAAAAAGCAAGATCAGTTGGTTAAACTTGTCTTTTCACACTACTCTCACGCCTTCTTGTGTCTGACATAATTTGAAATGCAGGTGTATTCATACTCCAGCATCCCCAATCGATAATTAATATGGTTGGCTGTTTTTTTCTTCGAACCTCCTTTCAGCTTGTTAGAGGCTAGAGATTGCAAGCTTCTAACCAGCTCTTTTTAGTTTGAAACTTTTATTTCGACTGTCTATCCCCATCTCTGATTGAAATGTTATGCACAGTGTATGCAACATACAAATTCCATTCTCTCCAGTGAGATCAGAGAAGCCATAATACTACTTTCGCACAATTCTGATATAAACTGAGAATGAAAACAAAAAGATCATTTGAAACGTGAGCTGAGCAGACATGATTGACGGTCAGTTCTATGTTCTGAAATCTCGAAACCATTAATTAAAATTTTACTTTCTGCTTCTTCTCTCACCTCATTTTTTCTCCCTCAGTAATTCATTGTTCTGATTGTTTCAATTCCATAGTAAGGTTTTCTTTCCATCATTCTAATCTTGAAACAAGCCGTGTGTGACGTTTTTCTAATCAATTGCAGCAAAGCTGTATTCGTTGGCTTCCGAAAAGTCACAATTTCAACTGATTCAGCTGTTATTTTTCATTTGTTTATGTTCCATCCTAGACATACGACAACTTCTGAATCTTCACCTCTTAAAATACGAGCAAACTACAATTTCCGTAAGTTTCAATGTCGAATGAACTTTCATAAACTTTCTCCTTTGATCTCGGTAATGGTTTGCAAATACCAACTGTGTACTCGCTATTGTTAAACCTCCTTTTCCTTTGATCAAATAATATCAACAATCTTCTTATTTTGCCAGGATATTGGTGATATGACATCATGAGAATAGTTTGAAGCTTCCCTATCACCCTTTCCCAAAAAACACCCTCAGGAATGAGAAGCCCTTCTGTTTCGCACTTCCAGGGTTCTGTTTCTTTCTTTTATTCATGAGAAATATTGAAAAGTACAGTCCAATCCATCATCTTAGTCTGTGCATAGAACATGAGTTTTTTAAGAAAATTCATGAAATCAGCATGTCCCAATTGCAGTTGTTAGCTCTAATCTAAAGTGCTATACAAACAGCAGGATTACGTAAGATGGGCGAATTGACGACAGCTATGAGAAGAAATTCTCAGTTCAGAATCTTCTTGTTCTGAGAATTTGTTGAAAAAGAAAACAGAATGATAACAGGCATTATGAAGCATTTTATGAGGATTTTTTTTTACAGAAAAGCCTTTGAATGAAGACTTGCATCTTCGTCCAGAAGTAATTGGAGTCACTCTCAATAGGTAAGTTCAACTGAGCTTCGCAGATTCATTGAGACAATTAAGGTATGAAGTACTGATGTGCTTACTGGGATATATCGCAGCCATGATGACACTCTTATTCCTCTTTGAAGTTATAAAACCGTCCCAGCTTTTCGAACTTTGAAATGAAAGTGGCACTGAACAGTTCACAATAGTTCATTGTATATCTTTTACAAACGAATTATTACAAGCCCGAATGCTCAGTACTGACAAAGGTGTTTTTTCATTCAAATAAGATGTATCCAATTCTCGCAATATATAAACGGGTTTTTTTCAAATGTTCTGCCTAAATTCCGAATATAACAGCTTTTCACCCACCTACCCTTAATGATTACAGTCAGAATGTTCTAATAAGGAGCCTTCATAATAAAATTTCAAGCTTTGGCAATATAAATCACAATAATCACAGTTGATCAGAGCTAATCAGTTTGATCGATATTGAGTCGATCGATTGGTATATTGTCACCCCCATCCCCGTTGTTTAATGACAAGTTTCGGAACAAATCTCGTACTGTTTCAGCCAACGCACCACCCTGAAAATACCAGAATACAGGTTAGATTCGAGCTGAGTATGATATACCTGTTGGAAACCACCAGGAAACAGCGATGAGAAGAACGATTGAAGCAAGCCTTCTTTATTAGGTGACTTATGCATTTTGGGATAACTGGACAAGAACATCAAGTCAGTAAACGGATACACACTGTACCTCGAAATTCCTTCCACAGGAGGTTCAGGATCCGTTATCGCCCTATCAGAACTTAGGATTCCTAACAAAATAGCCAATCGTTTGATATTCTGAGGCATTCCAATATATAAAGCATTCCTCCTGAAACAAACGGAAGTTGAATGAATGTTTCCGTATGAGAGGACTTTATGATCCAATCTTCCAACACAGCTTGACTCTTCTCATCATCGATGACGAACTTCGTGTTTCTCTCAAGCCATTCTAAAACATCTGGTGCCTTCCAGAGTTCACCAGCTTGTTTAACATAAATCTTTATCACTAACTGAAGACCTTCCCGCTCCCTATAAATAAGAGTCATCAAAAGAAAATAAGAAAGCGTGTGGAGCTCACTTGTTGAATGCGTAAAGATTGAAATATTTGTTGGAGCTTACAACTTCGTCCGTTTCGATCTGTAGTTCTTCTACCAAGCTCGCAACCACTCCTGGGAAACAACAGAGAGCTTTTTGTAGCTAAAATTAAGTTGTTTTCGTTGTTCAGACTTCACAACTACCAATGTGTCAGCTTTGATTTTATCTTCTTCAGTAACTGCATCCAGGAAATGAATTAGTGCCTGAGAGTACAGGAAGTTGGGTAACAAATCCAGTCTTTTCCATCCCTGAAGAAAATTTATAGAAACGAACTGAAAACAAGTTGAAGGTTATAACATTTCGTGAGAACAGATGAGCAGGTCTGAGATTTGCAAGAAAAAGAATCAGTGAAGCTCAAAATTCCAAGGAGTACATTCAAAAAACGAAATTCGTCGACAGGAAAGGGTAAGTAGTAAATGTTTTCAAAAACAAGTTGCAAAAAGCGGAAAAGAACAAAAGAAAATATGGAGCGGTTCCTTTCGTTCGGAGAAAACAAAATGAAGGGAATGGCAGAATAAGAAGATGCAATATATTCCTTTACATATAGCAATACCTACCGCACAAGTTTCGAGAACAGACTCAAGCCATGAATGTCGACGACATTTAAGGGCAATACTGTCAATGCTCAAGATTACAGCCAGAGGATCACCTTGAGGATCCATGGTGAAAATTAATTTAGCGATATTCAATGCAGTTTCAAAACATCTTAAAGACTACGTTAAATAGAAAGTAATATTTGGACTCACCTCTTGTCCACGCAGTTCAACATGAACCTGTGGAGAAGAAGGTAAAAAGCTCTGTTTTCATAAATGCGATAGTTTAGACGATGCTCCCAGGATGTGATTCTACATTGGGAATGTAAAGATTGTTCGGCAAAGTAGACTCCTTGTTCTATAAATAAGTAAAGCTTCGATCGTCATGTGGAGAGCTTAATACCAATTATGTCAGCGGAAATTGTCACATCTTCCTGCATCCTGGTGGAATTGGCAAAGAGTAAAAGAGAATTCAAATGATAATATCCTTCACGAAGAACCTGAAACATGGACCTAGCTTCAAGGAAAATTACATTGTGGAAACGTACGTTATGAATCATTTCTAGGTCCATACGATCCTCGGCATTACTGACAGAAATTTCGTATCCTTGATAACGAGGGGAATGTTCGAATTTAAACCAGGTAACATCTCCTTCTACTTTCTCAATACTCATGGAGAGACCTGGATATACACATTGAAACCTCTGAAAATTTACAAAAAGAAACCTGTACTGCGCATTGGTGGCCAGGAATTTTTATATTTGACAATTCTACCACTGGATTTGTTGTTGCGATGACTGTTTCCTACATTGGCGTTCTCCTTAAATCTTTGATTAATCAAGCTTTCAAGTTGTTTAATACCTTGAAAGCTTTGCCAAGAGCTTTTTTCAATTCAGCTGTGGGATCAAATAACTTGGGATCAACTTTGAAGAGTTCCTTCACAGTCACTACGGGGAATACAGAAGAACGGTGATCAGGTCCAACTTCCTCTACCTAGACCCCAACAGAGTTAGACCTATGCCAATCTCTCCTACCGTTAGCATATCATTCTCATAATAGTCCTGTTTGTGAGAAGTGGAAGCTTTCTTCTGTTTGCCTTTTTTCTTCTTCTTGTTCTTCTTTTTGCCCACACTCTTGTCCTTGAAAACCATACTTTCAATATAACGAAGCTTTCTTACTTTTGAGGTAACATTCGGAGTTTTCTTGCTCGATGTCTCACTCTGTTCTTCTTCCGACTCCTCTTCTTCACTTTCACTTTCCTCTTCGTCGTCGTCACCTGTGGCATAGTATGATTATGGAACTGGAATCACACAACTTACACATCAGAGCAAATCTGTTTAGTCTGGGTGGTTCTTGTGGAACATCTTCTACCTCCTCTTCTTCATCGCTCTTGGAACCAGTATCTTTTTCACGATCCTCTAGTAGTCGACGTAAATGTTTACTTGACATCCTAATAAAAACATTAAAAGCAGACGACAACTCTCATGTATGTAAGGAGAAAGTAACCATCATAACAACAACAGACAAGTTATTTATTAAAATTTACTTGAAATTATTAAGATCTTTCCTGAGACTAGCGAACTATTATGTACAATTCAATTGTGCCTTCCTAATACTCTACTCCTGAGGACCAGATTTAACTAAGCAAGGCTTCATCCATACAGGTGCGTAAGTCTCAATCAGAACATCGTTCAGTAGAAGCTCTTGCTTTTTCTTGAGACTATCTATAGGCAATACGGCTAGACCATACTTGTGATTCCGTTGAACCACCTGAAATAGTAGTTATGAATATTGAAGACTGGGCATGACGAACCTTTCCGACTTTCAAGTTCTTCCGGTCAACGATTTGTTCACCGGCTTGAAAAGCGCTGGTTGAATTGCATTTAAATGGTATAACCCTACGACGAATAACACCTTTAACAAATTAATAAACTTTAACAGACTATCCTTAATGTTTCACTTACCAGTGTGAGCAGTGCGAGCAGTTAATTCTTGTCCGATATAACAGCCTTTGTCTAATGAGACGAAGTTTAGAAGATCACCGTTAGCTTGAAATGGGAGCATTCCACTCAGTTCCTCTTTTCCCTCAGGTATACCATTTTTCAAACGTTCTTCCACATATAGATCTATATCCTCTGAAGAGAAAACGTTGAAAAAAGAAATAAACAGCAGAGCTTACTTGAGTGTTCATTGAAACTTCCATAGACTCGATTTCCCCAAGGGTACCTTGGGTCTTCGAAGCCTTGGTCTTTGGAGAAATAAACCTCATCAGATTCAATATTAATAGAAGCCTGATTGGTGTAAGCTTTAAGTTTATAGAAATACTCTATTTATTACCTTTTTCCGCATTCTATATTTTTCTAAAAGCATTTTCAGTTCATCCCTACCACTTGCACTACACTCCACAATGATATCATCGTTCCGTTTTGATATTATCAAATCCTCGACTATTCTACCTTTATTATTTAATAGAAATGACGCTATGGCGTCTTTGCGACCCAAATACCTGTAATATTGAGATAAAGACTCTGAGTTCCACAATTACCTAATATCATTGGTTATGAGACCTTGAAGTAAAACAGAGGCGTCTACGCCATTTATAGAAAGTAAGGAGCGCTGAGCCAACTTGATTAATGAAGTCATAACATGCCCTTAACGATGAGAAAGTAGATTTTGACTGAAAAACGAGAGCTAGCTTTGCAAAACTAAAAAGTAAAAACTGTTTAAGCCACTGGTAAAATTATCAAAGAAAGCGTAAAAAGCGCAATCAATTATTTGCGTACAAGTGTTCCATCGTTGCAAATGGCTCTGAATCACTCGAACGAATTGAATTTGTGTTGAAACATGGGCGATATGAAGCTTAATTTATTCGAAAACTTTGTTTTCATTATACTAACTGTACTCACAGCGAAGAACACAAATACTCGATCGTGTTTACGTGTATATGAGCATATGGCGTCTTGGTTCGATGGACTATGGGCTTCATCATCAATGCTTCGGGCGTGCTCATTTGAATATTGAGGAAAATAGTAATTTAGTGATTTCTCCATTTCTTCACAATGTTCTTTTACGGTTATGTTATGGTTTCGATCAAACCTCGACCTTTCTTAACAGCGCATTTGCAGCTGCAAAATATTATTCGAAAAGCTCCATCAGTCAGTCCAGAAATATTAAAAAACAGAAATTGAGTGCAAGTCGTAACACTGAGTAGCGACTTGTCTTATTCCATAAAAGGTCACAGAACAAGTAAACGCATTAATCATTTTTCAAATATTGATCGTCAACCTACTGAAAAGTCGGGAAGAGCTCCACCTTTACTTATCTATGGAGTAACAGCTGTCAACAGATTATAATATTTATATCTCCTTTTGGTCATGCCGCCAATACTGTCTTAGGAAGTGAAAATACAAGCTTTTAACGAAGAGAATGCAGTATCAGTGCGGTAACTTCAAAAGTTTTTCCTTATCAGGCAGTAGGATCCCCTCCCGGTTTCATCACATACAATAATTGGCGCCAACACACCTCCGTTCTCGACTTCAACTCTTCGGCAGTGTTTTAGCTATAAAAATGATTTATTATTGAATTATAAGGAACAGCTGCAATTTCGTGAGGCTTACACAAACCTTCCATTATTACCGTCTCACTTGTTACCCTCCATTAGCAGTCTTGTTCCTGATCATATTCTTCTTTTACAGAATCTATGTATTGGAGACCGTGGGAATCTACAGTACCCATCGCCAGTAAGGAATGTTACAGTTTTGAGGTAGCCGATATCTGGGATATACCTAGCAGCATGTTTTACTTCGACAGTGCCTGTCTTAATTCTCCGGTGGAGACTGTCAGAAAGAGAAAATGCTTCAAATGCGTTTGCCCTAACTGTAAAAACAAGTAAGACAACAGCTTGAGTTTAACAATCATTGCACATTTGAAGGGTTATAGACCCTTTGGATGGTAAACGTGTACATATATGTAGTTTCGAAGGTTGCAGCAAAACTTACAGGAAAACTAGTCACCTCAAAGCTCATCTGAGGTATGCACCGTTTTTGAACAGTTAAGTAGCGCTCGAACGTTCTCCAGATCTCACGTTGGTTGTAGACCATTTGTATGTTATTGGAACAAGTGTGCTCGTCAATTTGCTAGATCCGATCAGCTTCGGGTAGGTCTTTAAACACTCAGCTCATACCAAGACGACAGCTGAGTTTGAAATGAGCACAATATTTCAATTTTTAGCGTCATATACGCGGGCACACAGGAGAACGTAAGCACTGCTGTCCGGAATGTCAAAGAACGTTTTCGAGATCGGATCATTTGAAGCAACACCAATCATCGAAGCATCCTGTGATAACAGTAGACTAAACAACTCCCTACAGTATCCTTCTGGTAACAAGGACTAACAATGTCAACGCGGTTTATTGATAACGATGATGATTATGCATTTTCCAAAAAACATTATTAAAAACAAATAACAAATTGAGACATTTCGTATAAAGATATATGAATGCGTGATAAATCTCGAGGAAAACAAGGCAAAACATATAAAATGAATGTTATGGCATTGCTATAAAAGTTACGTCTAAAAAAGAACCTAGAATACATACAAGCTGCTGATTCCGAGAACTAAAATAGCATTTGAGAAGATACAAATTTAAAAAAAATAAAAACGAACATTGAATTCCCATAAATCTATGGAATGGTAATATATGTCAGGTTAATCTAGGTTAAATGGTTAAAGTGAATATGCTAATGGAAATATTTACAGCGCTCGTATTCACAAGTAAGTTAGTCTGATCAAATCATCATTCTCTTGGTATTCTTACCACAATAGTTAGGTGCGCGCTTGTTCATCCAGTTATTTTCAAAGAAACCATCGCAGTTCTGTGATGTACGCGAATAGTTTCTAGTTTGGTACTCCCACTCAGGGCGCAAATCTGGTGCATGAAAATCGTCGATCTGCCTGCAAAACAGAGGTGGTAAGGTCTTTTTTCATTCGCTTACATGTTGATGCTTCTTGATGGGAAGAAAGCTCCTTTGAGCATTGGCTTGTGTGTTTGATTGAACGGCTCCGAATGATAATACTCCCAACAACATTCGCATAGATATACGAGGCAGTCCAAATCGGCACAGAAGTTACGAGTATCTACCTGACCGCAACCCTCGCACATCATGGACTCTTCCAAGTAAGGTTTCAGCTCAACCTTCAAAAAGAATTAACCATCGATGAATACGTGCGACATACTGTTTTTTGTTGATCAACACTTGTGATTGCAATTTGGCTAAGACGAATAGCGTAAACGTATTGTTCTCGGTTTGCAAACACCGCACGAGCAGCTCCTTTAGGATATTCGGTCGAGTTTTCTACCTATGAAGTTAAACTGGTAAAAATCAAAACAAACACTCAGATCACCTCAATTGCCACTGAGAGAACTTCTCCAATCTCTTGGAACAGGAATGCAGCGAGATCAGCTTGAATAGGTATATAAAAATAGTTTTTGCTCTAATACAGTACCTGCTGTTGAAGTGCGCGGTACACCACCCATAAAAATAGCATATCTTTCACTGCCACGATACTTTCCTGACATCCAGAAACGATCTGCTTTACACCATGGACGGATTTGAACCTACGAAGAGTAATATTTTGATATTTTGAAAAAGTGTATTACAATTTTCTCCACGTAGTTGTCGGGAAACGTCATTTTCAAACATAACTTTCCAGGGGAAGAAATACATCTACTTATCAGGCGACGGACGGACTCCACATTACCAAACACAAGAAAAGCATACCCTGCTGAAAAATATTTACCAACCTTCCTGAGAAGAGAAAATCACCTCTTGGCATGTGAGGGGAACGTTCGCGATGAGGCCAGTCAACGGTAACATGCCCAAAAACGGAGAAAAATTCACAAATTTCGTCTCAAATGCCTCAGTAAAGTAATATAGTAGAAATTGTAACATACCTGCAGTCAGACCCTCTGGTAAACCTCCTACAAACACTTTACGGGAGTAATCAACCAAGTTTTCTGGATTCAAATAAAGCTTGTTTTCGACAGAGTGGCCTGAAGATTGATTTGCGAGTCTTCGACAAATTTGTCACTTATATTACCATGGCCAAAATTTTCTTGGAAGACAAAGTTGTTGCTCGGATATGTCAATTCACAACCTCTCCTCTCCTTGTATGAATCAGACACTGAAACATCACTCATTAATGTTAAAACTGGAGTTCCTACCTTCTTTAGAACTAGATGAAACTCGACGAGAAACTTTACGTATTTCATCAGCACTGAAACAAAGACTCAGTATTTTGCTTATTCTGATACATACCATGCAGTCTTGCCAAAGAATGAGCCTTTCTGCATAGGCTTGTGCTCATGAGTACTATGGTTCTTATGAACTACTGGCCAGCATTTATCGCAGATGTACAATAAACATCTGAGCTCAGCACAAAAGTTTCTTGTTTGGGATTTATTACAATGTTCACAGTTCATGTTTTCTTCTAAGAACGGCTTCATTTCCATCTTTAAGATACCAATTGAAGTTTATAATTGACACCTATAATTCTTACCTCTTTCTGTGATTCGCTCGAGAAGATTCCAATATGTCTCTTGGCAATAGCTGTAATGTATGATTCTCTCTTGCTGAAGATAACTCTCGCTGCTCCCTTGGGATACTCAGTTTCGATATCCACCTGAAGTTTAGAAACTTTTCTATTTTTATAAGGAAAGACGTACTTCTATGTTGACAGCTACAACGTTGCCGATATAACCATTAATAAGGTTTGCGAGTTGGCAAGCAGTTGCTGTCCTAGGTACACCACCCAAGAACACTGAGTATCTCGCTGTTATGGCATCGACATTACCAGTGCCATCTTTCCAAAGTCTATCAGCATTTCTCCATGGGCGAACTTGTACCTTATCAAAAAACGGTCAGAAAACGATTTTCAAGATAACTCACTGTTTTGGGCCTCATAGCACTATCTTCCATCTGTATGCAAAGTCTTCCCTGGAAAAACGCACAACTTTCTACAACAGCTGGAACGGACTCAGGCGATGTATATATGAGAAAAGCATATCCTATAAGCATTGAGTTTACTACGACTCATTCATTTTTATGAACCTTTAGGATAATCATCGCACTGTTTACGATGGGGCCAATCTACTTTAACTTCGCCAAATCTCATGAAAAAATCGCATAGTTCACCTGGAAAATAATGGTACTCTTGCCGAAATTATATTGGTAGAACTCACTCGCTGACATGCCTTCAGGAACACCTCCAATGAAAACCTTCCTTGAATACTCAGAAGAGTTTTCTCGAACTTCTTTAAGTATATCTAACACTTCCAGTTCATGATCCTTCTCTGGAAAAGGCCGATAAAGTACGGTTTGTATGTTCAAGACTACCATCTGTCACCTGTCCGTCAAGGGCAACTAAAGTAGAATCAGAGACTTTCGAACATTGTGAAGTATCTGTAATAGTAAATATACATCAGCGAGCAAAAGGATAGACTGATTACCAAAAGTGAATTGATTACGAAAGTAGTTTGTGACATTGGAACTAATTTTTTTATCTAAAATCATAATTCAATTTCATAGTTAAGTACTGTACCTTCACCATTGTAGAACTTTTCGGTGGATCTCAAGCCTTGGAACTCTGGCAGAAAAGCAGGAGCTAAATGCAAGTGAAAGTGATGGGTTTAACGAGAATGAATCATACAAAAAATATTCTGATCTGTCGAAGAAAGGGGGGATGAAGAAGAAGAGAACGTTTGTGTATGCGATCGGTTCTCAATTGGGAAATCTAAAAAAAACAAATTAGAACGTTACACATGCATTCACTAACCGTATGATAAATGGTCCATGGCTGTGAAGACATCCAGATCGTTGCATAGCAGAGAATGTGGACCGCAATCATCTAAAAAGACAGCATATTTCTTTATTAGCCTTGTTTTCCTCACCACTCGAATTTTCTTCTGCTGCAGTTTCATAAGACTTGTCCAATTGACTTTGTTTGAAGTTCGAACTTTTCAAGTTAGTAGAGTTTTGGGAGATGGTAAAACTGCTCATCATAGCTAAATATGAAGATAAGAGTTATGTGAGTTCCTAAATATCATACTCGTGATGGGATCTATGCCCTGATATGGAGTATAAATGTTGTCCCAATTATCCAAATTATTCATCTTGAGTGTACATTAATTTCTGGAAACTATAATGAAAGATTTGTAATAATTAAATGGAAATATTATATTCAACCGTATGCCAACTTTATACAAAATAACACGAAATTGATTTCTTTTAAAAGTTTCACAGGTGCGCGCGCAATTACTAGTTCGTTTTGAGACGGGTGAGAAGCTCAATTTGCATAGGGTACTGTACCTATTTCGAAATAATTTTAGGATTTATCCCGCCTTATGATTTGAATACTGGGCGTTATAAATGGGAGAAATCAATCTGGATGGTGAAATTCAATAAAACTATTACAAATCTATTTAAACAAAGTTTTATTTTCTCGAGGTGAGCTTTTTCAAATGGTACGATACGGAAACATAACACTATATCAAATAACAAACATCAACTAATGAGGTTTAGGCAGAGGTGACAGTATGAAAGGAAGTTAGAGAGTGTTTCAAAGAGGTTTTTGAAAGTATCTTTTCATACTTTATGGTTTCGGAACTGTAGGATATTGGTTTCTAGTTGTGATTCTAGATTGGCGAGTCTGTCTTTCAGCTCATTCCGTTTAGCATCGTCTTTTTCAATCGACACCTCATACTGTAATTGATAAACATCCTCCATGAGTTTTCCTACATTAGATGAATCGGGTCTACTCATCTAAAAAAACAATTTCATGTTTAACAATAATCTCTTTAGCTATACCTCAAAATCATTCACATCCATTGGAACTTCATGTTGGATAGAAGTCTCTTGAATGCGAACTTGGTTGAAGTCTTCATTACTCTTGAGTGTCTGGGAAGATGGGGTGGTAGTTATAACTGTGGTGATAGGATTCTGGGTAGTAGTTGTAGTAGGCAGGATAAACTCGGTGGTTGTTCTTTCTGTTGTTGTTGGGAAGAACTGAGTAGTTTTAGATTGTGTGGTAGGAATCTCTGTAGTAGTGGTAATTGCTTCGGTCGTAGTGGGAATAGCGGTAGTTGTTCGTCGGGTGAAGTGGAACCTGGGTCTCAATGTGGAGAATCTGGCAGGAACAAATGTGGAGAAATGGTTTTCTGCTCGATTGAAATCAAAAGGTGCTCTTGTTCGGAAAGTATAGCGTACTCGCTCGTAGTAACGTAATCTGGTTGTAGGAAGAGCAGTTGTTGTTCTTGGTGTTGTAGTAGTAGTTTCTGGGACAAAGAATTCGGTGGTTGGCGTAGCTGTGGTTGTGAAAACTCTTGTTGGAGGTAGGCGAGTTGTCGTGGTTGTCCAAGGAGTGTTGGTAGTGGGGACGTGTGTCGTTGGTGCTGTCCAAGGAGTGTTAGTCGTGAAGAAGCGGGTGGTTGGTGCTGTCCAAGGAGTGTTAGTAGTTGACTGAACTGTTTGGCTACGTCTTGTAAAAGCTGTATTAGGATGCCGAATTCTAAATGCACTGAGTTGCTATGAAAGACAATCATCGAGGTACCTTTTGCCAATCACAAAGTTAGGATTGAATCTGTTTCTGTTGAATTGTGATCCTTGTCCCCAGTTGGACCTGGATGTGAAGAATGGACGCGTTCTTCTGTTGGAAAAAAATCTGTCCTGCAAAGCGATGTTAACAAGATCTATCAACAGATCGATAATTTACGTTGTCAGTTCGCGATATTGTGGCCGTTTTTTGCTGGCGTTGGTCGTTCTGAAAATGAGTGAAACGTCAGTTCTTTGTTTGTAAGACCAATTTGATATTGAAGACATACCTCGGTCACACTATTGGAATTAAAATTTTGCGATGTAGCTGGTTCGTTGGTTGTTGTAATAATGGTATCAGTTGTACTAGTTGGCTCTCGACTTGCTTCGAATGCTTGGATAGGTTCTTTGGTAACAAAGTGTATCCTATCTTCAGGAATGAATGACACGCGTTTCCTATTCCATGAAGGAGCTTCCGTTACAGTGACCTCTGATGACCACGGAATTACCGTTGATGATAAATATTTGACGTGACCATTAGGTTCAACTCTCACGTAGTACCGTAATGGTTGCTGGAATAATATTCTGAACTTCTAATTTTGGGTCTTTTGAGATATACTAATCACCGATAATCTCTTGTGTGCTGATAATGAGGAGGAACAATGCTACATTGTGGCATATTTTTATCTTTTATAAAGTAATCTATTCGTCATATTTCAAAAAAGATACTATTTTATTTTGAGAGGTACATCGTGCTGCTGTTAATAGTAGAAGCGAGAATGAGAGTGCACTTTACTGTTATTGGAAAGTGAGAAGACCAATGAAGGTCAAATGAAATCGAACTTGATCAAAAAAAAGGAAAGAAATATGTGTGTGCGAGGTGAGATCTGAGAACATGTTGTCAAAGTAATTTAAGCATTTCGATTAGATCATCAGAAATCGAGGTCAACTTTTTAATTTAGATTATAATTAGTTTCTTCGAAAGCTTTTGACATTTTGATTTGGCAAAGCTTCACTAGAGGCAGACATTCGATGTTAAAGTGAAAAGCTAGATGAGTTCATTTAAAACTAACCGTTGCAAACATTTCAATTAGAAATGAAAGAATAAGAAGAAGTTCTTTCATTGCGTCGAATATAGATGTCGTTCCCGACCAACTTTATAATCAAGCGTTATGATGGCAGCATGTATCTGAAACTTTTATATACTGGAACCTAGATGAGTTGCAACCTAAAAAAAAGTTTTCCAGGGCGGAGATTCATCTTTCCTATTCTTTTAAGCAACCACAAGTTGGAAAAACTTCTGTAGACAAAATTTATGAATGACGGGATGCGGTAACCTGATTGGTTTTGTAAGTGTATATGCTTTATAATGATTAGCGATTGTCTTATCAGTTGATTTCCGTGTGAATAGGAGATTGGTTTCGAGCATGAGAGAGATAGGACCTCAATCAGAAGACATCATTCGCCATGATGGGTGGTGGATGCTTCGTTTTTATGCTTCTGCTCACCGGAATCTCGGGTATGTCCTTATTAGCATACACAGCTCATTTGTCTAGCTCTCTATGATTATGTGAGAAGAATTACTATTCGAGAACTTTTGCAGCCTTGACATGTCCAGCTGCCGATCATCCAATGTTCCAGTGTTCAGTTTCAACAATGTTCATAATCGATGCTTCTTTCCATGCAAAAACAGTCGGAAACATAAACACTGTAAAATTTTTTCTTATTGGACCTATCACCAAAATGATTTCAGATGTTCGATTATCTGGAAAGCCGCATTTTACCCAAATTTGGTTTCATCAATTATCAAAGTGCTAATCTAGCAATTATAGGATCAAAACTTGAAGGTTTCACCACAACTTCACAATATAACCTAGTATTGTTCTGCTTACTTTTATGGAACAAAAAATTTCTTTTAACAGGCTTGTCATGAAGCGGAAGTGTTGCGTAAAGATGCTATTCTTCACGGACTTCAAAATGTCACCTTGGCTGAGTATGTGCTATACATCTGATTACAACAATATCGTAATTTCAGCTCTATACAAACACTTTTCAAGGATTTAGGAGCCGGATACGATGAGCCTATCGTTCTGTTCACTGCAAACGAGTAATTTTTGATTATTAAAACTCTTTCATATTCCTCATTATCAGTGATGCTGATGATATCGAGAAGGCTGGTGATTTTTTGAGAGACAATTACGACACTACTCAATTCACAATTGTTGCTTTCAATTCTTCGTTCAGTACTTGGAGATCTTTCCATACCTATGGATTCTATTCGGTAATCATTACACATTACATGACTTCAATATACATATATGCTTTATTAGGTTACATACGATAATATCTTTGATCAACAAGGACTAGAAAATTGTATTTTGGCTTATTCATGCCGGGTTGAAATGGATTATTGTAAGGATTCATATATGATACTTACCTAATCAAGAAATCTTCTTTAAGGCAGCGATCGTTTGGTTCCTTCCAATACAACTCATGCGACATACACTGTCATTCCTACATACGCCAACCCCGTAGCTGCCCCATTCCAATGTACATGTGATCTTCAAAAAGTTTGGAATGATGTGATTATACTCATGGAAGTTTCTTGGGCTGAGGGCCTCACAGGTGTTAATACTGTAAGTATATTATCGAAAGGTGTAGTCTGAATAGTGATTGTTTCAGTCTTGGACTTTCATGCAAGAGGTGTTCAGTCCATTCAATATTCAGAAAAGCTCCCCATCCAACCAGGTATACAGTTATGCATTATGTTAAATTCACGATGTTGTTCTTCAGTTCTTCATGAAAATTGGAGTTGTGAAGTACGGTGATGTGGCAGCTGTAGAAAACTCTTTTGGATCGATATCTGGTGCAGATCTCCAGAAAAAGAAAGTTCCTTCCATGAGTGGAAATGGAGCATCTGTTGAAAAGTATGAATGTTGTATTTTCTGTTCACCGAAAATGTTTAGGGCCATTCGTGTCGCTATTCAACAATTCTCAACGAAAGCAGCTCGTTCAAATTCTAGAAAAACCATTGTTATCTTTGGTTCTGACTTCACGTATGAAATATAATGTTTATCATGTGACAAATTTACTTCAGAGGCGATCAAGCAGAGCTCGCGAAGGCTAAGCATGATTTCTTACAAATGGGTGGTTCATTCATTGTCTATGGTATTAAAAAATATAATATGCGCTTATATACTGTTCTGTCAATTTCAGATGTCAAAAACTCTTTGAATCCTCTGCTGTATGATTTGACACCAGCCGTAGTTCCATACGAGGATAACGGCACTATGATCCAACAAGCATTATGCAACGGTTAGTGGATCACGTGAATCTATAAACCTTTGAAACATTATAGCAAACTGCTATTGTCCATCAAACAGCATTAGTTACTTCTCCAAAGATGGAAATCAAGCTGGAGGTAACGTTTCAACCCTCTAATAGAATAATTTCTTTCTTCAGGATGTTATGTTGCCACTACTGTTAGTAATAAGATCCTATCAAATAAAGTTTGCAGTCAGAAGCAAGGCTTCTTGGCTATAGATGAGAACGGCTCAAAGACACAGTTCATTCAAAAAGGTTAGCCCATTGTCTCACCTCTTCCCTTCAAACTCCTTTGTAGAATTCCAAGCATACTCCGCTGCATGGATTGGATTGACGTACGATCTTTCCTCAAAAAGATATATTTGGGCGGATAATTCAACTGTTGAGTTATAACATATTGACCATTATATGTTCATTTACATTCAGTTATCTACTGCATATGCCCCATGGTCTTCAACATACGTCATGCCACCGACTGCAGATCAGAACTGTGTTGCATTGACGAATGGAACTTGGGTCCAAACCGACTGCAGAAATTCATTACCGGGCATCTGTGAGATACCCCCATGTGATTCTACCCGTATGTGTTAGAAAAAAAAGAGAACAAAGAGCTGAATATACATGTAAGTAAAATGATTTGTACGTGATATGACAAAAAGAAAAAAGGTATTAAATATATATTATATATACATATATCTCACACAACGGTTGCATTCCTTAGCTTTGAGCTATACAATTGCAGTTTTCTTAAAGTTTTTTTCAAGAACTGTAAACATAACTGAATCAATAATCTGTTCTATCTTAATAAGCTTATTAAATATATGAAATTGAATATAATATTATAACTAACCTGTTTCGTATCAGTAGCACATGTCTCATGCAGATAAATGCTTTTGCTTTCGCCTCTCACACGAAGTGAATCAAAATATTCTTTTATATATGCCATACACTCTTCATATGAGTTAGATCCTATATTGATAGTATTGTGTTATATCTTCCGCATACCAATTATATAATAACCTTTATAATCTTTGAAGTATAGCTTTATAGATGCATGCCGTATTTTTTGCTCGAATAAATCGCGCTTGTTCAAAAAGAGTATGATAGCTGATTTGATAAACCATCGTGTTGCTATTATATGTTTAAACAATTCAATTGATTCAGATAGACGATTCTGAAAGGAAAGCAAAAAAACTTCAAAATGTTCTACAAAAATAAAAAAAAAAAGAAAAAAAAAAGAAAAAAAAATTTTGTTTGACTAACAGTCTGTCCGTCTTCTAGTAACGTTTGGTCGAATTCATTAATTGCTACTATATAAATAACAGCATCGACATTCTCAAATAAATGAATCCATTTTCGTCGTTCAGATCGTTGGCCTCCGACATCTACCACCCTAGCAACGAAAATTATATTTCTTAATGAGATCCTCAATCACATACCTGAACATGACACCTTTGACTGGAAAGTTGATTTGTACTACTCCTGAGGTCGGAACACGTATATTCAATAGATCACTGTTCGTTGGCATATAATCTTTAGCAGCTACTCTATCAATGGCTTCCATGAAACTACAAACGATTGCATCAATCGTGGATAATTGAAGACATTACTATGATATATTATCATTTAGCTGATAATCTGATTTGCGTGCAAACGTCATCTCCACATTCTTATCCGTCCATAGCCTGGAAGATCGAAGATGTATGTAGTTTGGTGATGGACAGTTAACCTTTTCAAAATCTTAACTGTTTCTTCTGTGAATGGCAGAGCATCTTTCTCTGTTTTTATTAAATTTTCAATAAATTTTGCATCTACCTGAAAGCTATGATCGTCGTAGCCTTCTAACCTTTCATAACATTACTTCTAATTGTTCTTGACTAAAGAAATATCCAAATTTGGTCATAGCCTCGATTATTGTACGAATGCCAACGATAATAGTACTATTGATAATAGGCTTCATGTTAGTCCGTTCTGCTTGTGAAAAGCCTTCACGATGTAATATTCTGAATAGAATACGATATGTAAAACGTCTTGTAGGAAGTTAGCATCGCTACTTACTGCATTTGCTTGATAATTGTACTCTTTCCGCATTCACCTGTCCCTGAAAACTTTCTTTGCTGATTATGCATACAATATCTAACACGTACCTAAGAGTAACAACTTTTGATCTCCGATCGAACCATGTTCATCGTTGCGAATCTTTTTATCTATTTGTTTACTAACTTGATTCTGTTTCCTTAGCTCAGGCGTAGCACATATAGAGCCCATATTGAAACTATCTCAACAACAACCACCAAAATTATAAAGCACTAAAACATGCTATGGTGTTATAACATTCCTATTACATACAGGTGCATATATACAATATAAGGAAGAAAATGTAAATGAATCAAGTTTGAGCTATGAAAACGTTTGTGTGTTGGAAGATGAAAATGCAAAAAATGATTGGTGAAAGAGAGGAAGAGATAGAGAGAGAGAGAGAGAGGGAGAGACCCTCAATTACTATACTGTTCATAGATTATACTAGAGGAGATCTGGAAAAAACAATATATATATCTAATGAGCTGTTAAACTTTAAAAGATCGCGTAAGGTAAGCCATCGACGTACGTGAATTATATAAATCAAAATGTATTTTTTATGATCCGAAAAAGCTTATATATAAGAGGAATAATATTGAAATTTTTCCAATACAATAAGACCGCCCTCATTATTTGAGAATAGAGAGGGAGAGAGGAGGGAGGGAGAGTAAGAGAGAGAGAGAATTATATAAAGAGCCAATTATACGATTATAATAACGAGATGAAAGAGATAAGTTTATGATCAATTAACGAGCATTTTGGTCGAAAATTAAGAAAATGAATCATGAGATATTGGAGTTCACGTGTGTGTGTACATCTCTCTCTCTTTCTCTCTCTCTTTCAGTATGTGTGTGAGTGTGGTGTTGTGCAACAAGTCGAAATCTACAAAACGTTACATTAATGAGACAGCTGGAATAATACTTCTATATATCTACATGAGAAGCATTTGATTGATAAGTCTTTCATCTCTCTCTCTCTCTACTTTCTCTTCTTAGAATCTGAATATGATACTTGTTTGAAGATTTTATATATTTCATACCACACACTCCTTCTCAATGTCTTCAGGTAGGTTATCATTTCTGACAACTAATTACAGCTTTCATTAAATCGAAAAACATAAATCATTGGATGGACATCGATACTTCTCTGCAATCATGAAATCATTTCTCATTCTCGACTTTCAGCTTTGTTTTCATTTTGAATTACCTCAACACGTTTTCTACAATATTGCATTGGTGAAGTGTTATTGTGAGCCAAGTTGTCGAATTTAAAAAAATTTCATTGACAATTCCGAGAAAGAACATGTAATGCTAGTGTTTTATGCACTGAAAATATCACAATCTCTATGAACATCTTATTCTTCCCCATAATCTAGCAGTACACCAGTCGAAGCGATCATTCAGACGTTCGGGTTTTAAACTGTCCAGAAGTGAATTTCAGCCACATGCACTGCCTTTAATTGTCTGCCAGTTGGAAACGTTATTCAATAACAATAATAGGAAGAGTGTGAGGAAGCAGCTTTGACAAAATGAATTTATTAAAAGCACATAATAACAAAATCTGATTCCGCTAAAACATCAACTAATTGTGGAGTTCGTCACAACCTGTTGTTGATTTTGATTGTAAAACTGTTGATACTGACTAAAGCTACGACTCATTACTAACACGAAAGCTGTTAGTAATATCACGGCACAAAACATCTTCGAGACGGTTGTTAACGTAGTGTTATTGTAAAAGTCATTCAAAGGCTTTGACGATTCACTCTCAACGGAGTTATTTCCAAATGCCAATCTGAACAGGAACGATTTTAAAAAGTTGAAGTTGCATTCTGCAAAAGTTGCTAATATGCTCATGCAATAATCATTTCAACGAAAAAAAAGAAAAAGTCAAACTTACTGCCTTGTTGATGATTGTTGATAGATCGCAGGTTGAATCTGAAAGTTCAATTGTTAATGTAAACAAAAATAAAGTCCCGAAGCGATTAACGATAAATAACGATTCTTCATTTTCACATCATCATCGAGCGTGACTGGTTGTGTCTTTCTGTGCTCTAATTATAACTTATGAACTTTCGTTGTTATTTTTCAGATATGCCAAAAAGTATCAAATTTGATGGGTTATCATGTATTTATAAATTGTGAATAATGCATGTAACTACGAGGAATCTTTTCAACGTTTTGAAGATGCGAATGACGAGGGAGCTACTGAGTTACGGGTAAAATCAATTATTCATCGGATGGATTTCGTAAATATCGAATCATTTTCAAGGAAAAATGCAAGAATAACTCACGGTGATGCTACTGAATCCCGTTCCTCGTCCTGTCTCAATGGCACAATCGGGAAGCGATGGTCTGTCGAATTTCTTAGAAACGATTCCAAATATCTGAGAGTAATTAGGGTCTTGACGAAGAGATGTTTGATAAATCAGATGATTAGCGAACGGCGATTATATTTTGTCGTTGAACAGAGGTGATTCATAACATGATTGCCATAGCTAACTACTAACTTAAATCTTTCGCTTACCTTAGCTGCTTTAGTCACAAGAACACCCACTCGCTTTGAACTTATGGAGTTATCAAAATCATTATCAGACGGGGATACTTTATTCATGGCTGAGAGTTTTCTCTAAAGTTAGTAGAGATTTTAGAATACGGAAAACGCGTCCTTGATGATAAGTTGAATGAAAAAGAAACTTGGCTCATTCAGGAAGAGGGAGAGATGTATGCTATAGGAAGAAAGAAGGTGTAAACATCTTAAAGAATCAGGAAATGGTTATGCTCAAGGTGTAAGACGATCATTCATGAAGTTAAAACTAACACGTGTTTTAGTAGGCAACAAGTTAAATGATAGTTGTTTCGAAAAAAAAAAGAATATAGTATAGACTACAGTTCGGGAAAGCTTGTCGAACATGCTCAAACATCTCACCATGGCTTATTGCTGTTGCCAAGTGCGTATATACATAAACACCTAGTATTGCGTGACCGGATATAAAGGGTGTATATTGATGCATATTCATTAATCTTAAAAAAGCTTATAATAGACCAATAATTAATGAATTTTGATAAAACTGCTTGAAGAGCTATTAAAAAACATCTTTATCTTCAAATTAAGAATTAAGGTATCAACAATCAGCGGAGTTGAAACAATAAATTAAACATGCCTCCTAATCGTAAAGAGTCAAACGTTCCGGAGTTACGACTTAGTGGGCGATGTGAGGGTTTACTTCTTTTTCTTATTCTTCTTTCCAGCGCCAGAAGATCCCGCCGCCTATATCATACATAACTCATACTAAACGAGGAAGATTTGTCTTACCTGAGGTGGTACATAACCAGGTTGTCTCGTTTTTAACTTTGGAATCATTTCTGCGACATATTTAAAGACAGAAGTTCCTGCAAGAGAGAAACACACTCGACTCGTTTGAAAAATGAACTAACTAGTTGGATATTCGTTATGCTTAGGTGTTCCATCATCATTCTTCAATTGAATTCGTACTCTACCTTGACTTTCTGGCTCTCTGTCTTGGTCCCGAGGATACATTTTTTGTTTCTGAATCAATTGTAAGACGGTTCACATTCTTTCACAAACCTCTAAAATAGGTTGGAAACCTGCAGCCATCAAGACATCTTGAATTTCTACACAAGTAGGCTTCGAAACAGCCTTTATCGAGTTCAAATTATGGACATATCCATGCAATCGATACCTGGGGCCTTGATATCTTCCGTCCTTCTTGTAAAGACTTCGTTGAATCTATGTATGCAGGGTATATTACAATCCATCTCTTCGGCTCTGAATATGCGCCAGCTTCTCTCAAGATGGTACCCATTCTCTTAAAAAAATTACTAAAATCATAACAAATATCCTTAAAAAACTTTGCAAAAATAAATGATATGCCCAGCTTGTTGGAATGCATGCAATCGCGCAGTCGCGCGTAAACAACGTACATGTTTCAGAATGCATCTAATTTTAACGCAAAAATAGAGTTCCTATGAAATGCTCATTATAGAACTGTATTATTTCATTTCCTTGATTTTCCAATTATCATCTAGCCAACTTGATTGTTTATACATAAATTGATATATTTTTGAAACTTCCTAAGCAACTTGATAGGGAGTTACTAATTTTGATCTTCCGAACCAAATCCTTCCCTAACATCAACTATTCGAAAACCTGCAAAAGCAATAACAAAGTCAAGCTCGTTAGCATTGACGAAAATCCTCATGAAGGTGGTCTCATGAAATCTGATTTCAACTCAAAGTGCTGAAAACTCTCTCCTCTGGGGAATATTTGAAAAAATTAAAAATTTCGATCTTGAATTGTTCATATATGTTCAAACAATTATATTCACCGTTTACTTCTGGGGACTATAACACCTTCTTGATCTACGAGCTAGTGAATTCTGTCGAGCAGGTTCCAAAAGTATATCATCTCATAAGTACGAAAGGTTTTCATCAAGTAATCGCGTATCTCATCTACATCCCTAACACATCAAAGATGTCATGTGATCACTGAGAATTGAAACTCTTCAATCAGCTTCAGGAGGAAATTCATTTAATCTTGACGTCATGTACAAATCAGAATGACTTATAATTTACAAATAAATATGCTTAAAAGCACTACAAAACATGCAAAATAACATTTCTAGAAAAACGATTATATCAATGAGTTCCCGCATCACATAAATGACTACAAATTGCCTATAATACCTCTTAGTTCAGTAAGAGGAAAAGCTAAAGGTTCATCGAATGAACAATACCATGAGTTCAGGGTTTGAGAAGGCTTTTCTCAGTACGATTCATCAAATCAATGCAAGCTTCAGAATATTCTTGTGGATGTTCGAGCAAATGTTTGACGTGCTTCGAATCCGTAAACCTCAAAAACTTGACGTCCTTTCCTTGCCGCATTTCATTTTGCATGAAACGATCAATGTACCTACAAGATATCCCTGTAAAGTACAAAAGGAAGAATATGGCTTACTTATGCTTGACCATTGTGTCGTTTTCAGAAAAAATATACAACTGGGGACCAGGGAGGTTAACATATGTTTGGAGATAGTAAAATTGAGATAAATGAGCTCTTATAGGAGGGTAAACATAGCATAGAGGGTTAGCCTGAAAGAAAGTGTTGTACTACATTAATTAACTGGAACTGACAATAAAGTTTCGAAGTTTGTACATGGCTTTGATATATTTTCTTCTGAATTCTTGATCGATCCATTCCAAGCCATCCAAAGGTGGAGTGGATTGAACAACAGCGTGAGCACAAGGCCCTGCTTGTGTCATACCGGGGGCGCTAAACACATCAAGAAAAAGTTTTGGAGCCTTTTCTTACCTGTCAAACACAACTCCTTTTATTCGTTTACGGAGATCTTCACGTTGTTCAGCTTCGGTCCATTTCCATAAAGAAATTAAAGCTCGGACGCCATTCATGGAGAATATGTGAACTATTATGGGGCTGTAATAGAATGAGAAGAGAATATGGTGCAAAACCGTACCATCTATCAAAACTTCTGAAGTCTCCAGGTTTAGCATCTATTGCTCGAAATAGGGGTGACATGTAGAAACCGTAACGCGAGTTAGGGATTCTATAATGATAGCACGGAGAAGCGAAAGAAACTGTTCGGTATCTGAAAACAGATATAATTCTAAACTTTATATCTTCCTCACCCTTGATCATTATATATTTTCGCATATTTCTCGATATATGAATATCGGGCACCTGCCCATCCCAGTAACAGAACTACTGGCTTCTCCGGCACGACTTCAAGTGTGTTGCCTGAAAATGCATTGTGAGATTTAGATAGATATACGAAAAAAAAACCATCCAAAGTAGTTGGATTGCGAACGAGAAGTCTTGGTTCAAACACATGTCTACTGAAAAACGTTCGAGATTGCGCAAGCCATAGGTTGGTGAGCACAGCTTTCCTCGACATCTGAGAAGTACTATTAAAGCAGACATCCTTATTTAAAGTAACGATGGTATTCAACCTTTCTTCAATAGTATATTCAATCAACAACATATTACTGGAATGAATCACATGCAAACAGTTTAACGGAACAATGGGAGATCGATAAAACTCTTAATACAAGTATTAATTAAGGATAATTATGTCATCATCGGGAGTTGGAAGATGTGGAATTGGATCAGACTGAGGTTCGTTCACCGGTAAAAAACTTAATTCAGGAACTTGGTTCACGTAAGGTATATTACTGGGGGGAGAAGGATTTGATACAGATGGTGGGGCAACGATCACGGGGGATGGGTGAACAACTGAGTTGTTATGTGGAGGGCTTGAAGCATTTTCGTCTCTCTTATTATTTATGAAGTCTTTCGATCTATTATTATAAGCTTCTCTCCTTTTATTCAGGTCTTCGACAGTAAGTATTCTGCGACATTTTGAGCTGGGTAAGATTTCAATGTCATCAGAATCACTACTAGAAGAATGATTGTCTTGATTGGAATGGCTAGAATCACTTTTTCGTTCATTGCCATCTTCGGTATTATCAAGTAATTCTTTAGAGATGATAAGCTGGTTTCGTTTTAAAGGGCGAGGGTTGACTTCATGTACTACCTCTACCGAATCACGGCTTTGTGAGGCACCATCTAACTCCATCTCGGAAGGCTGGTGTAGGAATTTACGTGGATTTATACAACATATAATTTCTAAGGATTTTGAAGAGGCTTTGTCATCATCATCAGCAAGCTCTCTTGCAGTGGTTGGAACTGTGTTAGATAGTGTATTCTCGACTCGCGGTGGATATTCTGCGCGGAGTCTTTTCACTGGAAGAGTTCCTTTATATGAAGGTTATCATAACTTTAAAAAACCTGGTGGTCCTTCAATTATTTCATCATGTGATGGGTTGGGATTAGACGGAAAATCATTATTCCGAAGCCAAAGTTTGACTCCAAAAAGCTTCTGTGGCTAAATAAATAAAAGAAATATGCAGGAGTAAAGTACCTTATCTTCAGGGAAGGTCATTCCGCCTGTAGTGAATCCTCCAACTACACATTCCACTTGAATGTCATCCTTAAACAGTATTTACGATGAAAAGAATGAGAGAAGGCGACTTGCGTTTTCAGTTTCTGTCGACTGTTTCAAAAAATCGGACATGTTGTAGAAAACCTGAGAGATAACATTAAAAACTGAGGTATATCTTCGAACATACCCTGTTTTCAGCATTAGTTTCTCTTTGTAATTTCAAACGTGCTTCATCGTCAAGAACATCTGTTTTGATTGAACCTTCACATTCCTCATTCATCGCTTTATCTTCTACTTCTTTATCTCCTTCTTCCTGTTCTTCTTTCTGTTCTTCCTTCTGCTCCACTTTTTCCTGTTGTTTTTCGTTTCCTTCCTCTTGTCCTTCTTGAGCTCCTTCCTTGCTCCGCGTGTCCACTTCTTCCATCATAGGCTCGTCTGTACTTGCTATCACTTGCTTGTGATCATTTATTGTACAGCTCGAAACTTCCTTGATTTGCTCGTTTTCCTTCATTCCAGATTCCGAAACTTCAATCACTTGCTCCTTTTCCATCGTTGCAGACTCCATAACTTCCTTTTCTTGTTCTTCTTCCTTTATCGGTGAATCCAGAACTTCCATCACTTGCTCATCTCCGGTTATTGGTGAATCCAGAACTTCCTTTACTTGTTCTTCTTCCTTTATCGGTGAATCCAGAACTTCCATCACTTGCTCATATCCGGTTATGGGTGAATCCATAACTTCCTTTACTTGTTCTTCTTTCTTTATTGGTGCATCCACAACTTCCATCACTTGCTCATCTCCGGTTATTGGTGAATCCAAAACGTCCTTCACCTGCTCATTCGCGGTTACTGGTGAATCCGAAAGTTCCTTCACTTGCTCATATACGGTTATGAGAGAGTCCAAAACTTCCTTCACTTGCTCGTCTACGGTTGTGAGCGAGTCCAAAACTTTCTCAACTTGCTCTTGTTCTCCCGATGGACAGTCTACATCTCCATTTACTGGTTTATCTTCCTCCATGACTGAGTCCAGATTTTCATTCAGTTTCTCTTCCTTCATTTCCGACAAATGTTCGTCTTCACTTTCGTACTCCAGTTCGTCCTCGTCCTCGTCTTCGTCCGAATCAAGAAAAATTTCGTCTATTAAAACCTCCGCTTCATTATTGATGATGTTCTCTATTCCACCATCCGAAATCATCTACTCAAAGATAATTTGACAGATTCAAAAAGGTACACAAACCTTCAGAACTTTAGTAAGAGCATGTCCCTCATGTTGATCTTCTTGTTTGGTCCCTATCTCTTCTTCTTTCTCTTCTAGAGAAAAAAATTAAGTTAGAATCTCATTAGCACAAACGCACCTGGTAAAAACTCAGAATAATGTTTCAAGTCCTCGTCATAGGCAATGCTCCTGATAGTTTTACTGATCAAGGCAGTCAGATGAGTAACGTAACTAGCTAAATTCTCGAATAAATTCTAAGGAGACGACTAAAGCTTACGAAATAGATACTCGTCTGATGCTTCAGGAATTTGGCTCTGCTTATCATTTATTAACTCCTCATCTCGAACACGTCTACATATGTCTTTCACTTCATCATGTGATACAATACTGAGAATGAAATCTCTAACTGAGTTCTTTTAAAGAAAAACATACGGCATACAGGGTCCTCGTTTGCTCTCAAGAAGTTGCGTTAGTTTCTTATCAATGTTCGGGTTACCACTGTTGCTTATGATAATCGGAGGCAAGAAAGCACATTTAAAACTGAAAAACAAATAAGCAATTCTCAGACATTACGAACTAACGCTGTAAGCATCTCAGAGGAATCATCCTTTGCACGTGCTTTACAGATCCTCTTCTCGAGTCGTAAAATCATTTGTTGAACCTATCAAACCGAAGCATTATGTGGTAATGTATTACAGATATTACATGAATTTCTTCATAAACCAAACTTTCCTCTTCTTCTTCATTGTCGAAATTAACTTCACGTTCTCCCAATTGCTTTGCTCTCTCAAATAATTTCTGAAAGAGGATGAAGCCTGTGTATCTTGGAACAACTCACATTTCTCAAGATGATCAGTTGGCGGAACTTCTTGGGACTCAATTTGTTCTTAATCTCATTAGAATTCTCTTCAGATAAATCTTCAATGGCAATTTTAAAAAATGAGATTTCGAAAATAACTGACTATCAGGCTTTGGCGGCTTATGGGAAGATTCTTCTTTCGCATTAGATGAAGGTCCAGCTTCACTATCAAGAAAACCCGAAGGAAGAACGGTGTCCTTGGTGTTAGAAGAAGTAACAGAATATAGAGGCTCCCCTTCATTCATTTTACTATCTGATATGATGAAATGATAAAAATAATCAAAGGTGAGGTTACCATAGAAATAAGTTATTTCAATATCCGAAGCGTCTGAGAGCTCATCAATAACTTCAAAAAAAAAACAAAAATATTCAAAAATTTCAAATAATTAAGTTACCGTCTTGATTGAGTTCAACATTTTCGATATTTTTCTCAGTGGCTGCCATTTTAAGAGAATAGGGATTATATTATACACGTTCTGAATTAAAAAAAAAACAGCAACTTCCTAGGCCGTTCGCATGAAAACTTGACGTGCGAATAAAAATGTCGGGCGATCTGTTTGAAATTCAGCTTCTCCTTCTTACTGCTAATCCCTTCCCAATGTTATCAGTTCCTTATGATTATATATCGAGACTTACAAAAACTTTTGAAATGAAGAAAGTTTACCCTCTAATTGGTTTTTCATTGCTCTCACTTTATTGTTTTTAAGAGTTTTGCATCCTCTTTTTCAGTTTGCACATAGTAATTAGGATATGCTCAAAACCCTAGGTAAATACCTGAGCTGTTACTTGCTCCTTAGACAAGATATATAAAATGGGAAACAACTATAGGTGGGCGGGTATCTTTTCTTCTGCGGGTCAATAAAACGAGCGTGTTTCCTTTACTACATGCAGATCGTTATTCGACAAAAAGACTGAAAATGGTTAGTCCTTCCTATGTTAGTTCTTCAATCTTATTATTTTCAGAGTTTAACTGTTGATGAGCGCAAAGAGCATCTTGAACCCCTTTTGGGACTTGGATGGCAAATGGTAACTGGAAGAGATGCAATCCAGAAAGTTTTCCTTTTCAAAGATTTCAATGAGGTAATGATTTTCTCATTACTTATTCATTCCAACCTTTCCCAGGCTTTCGGATTCATGTCCAGAATAGCTTTGAAAGCTGAGAAAATGGATCATCATCCCGAATGGTTCAACGTATACAATAAGGTTTCATTTTTCAATTCATAACGTTTTTTCAATTGTCCCACTAAGGTTGATATTACTCTCAGTACTCATGATGTTAGTGGATTATCTGTCAGGGATATCAAATTGGCAACTTTCATCGAGGAAACCCGCAAATAATTTTTCAATGTTTCAAAACGTTCCAATAAACTACATGCTTCATTTCACTTGAATTATTTACCTATCAGTCTGGTCAAGGACGACACTATACTAACGGCCTTGTTGGAGTTTTTGTTTGGATCGATGTTAACCGTGTAATCAAGTTCTGAAATCTAAACTTTCTCGAAAAAAAAAATAACTAAGGGAGAGGCGTTTTCGACTGAGTTGAAAAAAAAGAAAAAAGCTTCTCTTTCTAATGTTGTAATCTAACAATGAATTCCTTGTGTTTTGAGAGCTGGTCAAGAATGTGAGTTTCTAAAAAAACTGTAGTTGCTTGGCGTAATCGGTGTTGTTATCATATCACTCGAACATGTAGTGTAGCATCCGGATACAGCTCACTGTAGCGACGATGAGTGGAACTAAGCATTTGAAGATGATCAGTTTCCTGACAGCAAATCCGTCTTGAGAATTTCACGTTCTATCATACTAGACTTTGTCTTTGAAGAGCTTTCTGTCAATGAAATCGGCTTCAAATGATGCGAACAAGATTTATTCAGAAAAAAATATGAGAAACAGCACCGTTTTTACAAAATATTTAATCAAATATGATTTAAACAATTTTCTACTTCAGAAAAATTAATTTAGGAAAGAATTTGAATCATCATGATTCTACAAGATTTTACGAGAAGAACGTAAAATGACAGAAATTACTTATATTAATCGGCTAACAAGGAGAGAAGGCTAATAGACAGGGCTCTGATCAAACTACGGTATCCTAAACTTTAGACAGACATCACTATACGTGAGTGAACAACTTGTTGTTCTTTCTAATATAAAAGTTACAAGTTACGAAATTGATAATATATTCTGTTGAGCGATCAGATATGAGGGGTCCTAATCTTAATCTAATGAGTTGCATAAAATCTTTTATTCATAGCTAGAATATGCTCACAAAGAACTTGAGATCTTGTCTCATCTGGATGAGCAGCCATCACATTCAAAACAACAGCCTAGAATCATATTATAAGTTTTAAAAATTTGAAAGCTCCCTTACTTCTGGGAATAATTGACAGAGGTTATACTGCAGTTTAGCTCGTTCTTGGTCTTTGGAGTCTGATGAGCTAAATTAAGATTTTTAGGAGCATCTCTGGATGTTTAACGAACTTATTAGTATCAACAGGCCCTACACTGAGCTCTGAGCGACCCCAAACGGCTGTTGAAGGAGCAAATAAGTTATATTGTTGGTATTCAATGTCTTGAGGCTGCTTTTTGTAAGTTGAAGGGATGGGCATTGATTGATTTCGAGCTACAGTTTGATGGGTTGGTGGGTGCCATGACGGTTGGAAAGCGGTTATTGGAACAGTCTGTAAGGTTGTTTTTATTGGACGCCTAAAGTCGGAGAGTACCATTGGATTGTTTTCCTGATTCATTACATGCACCATGTGAGTGTTTAATGATCTGGTTCTTCCTAGTGTTAAACGTGACTTGTTGAGGGAGTCCATTTGAGACAACGAGTGATCTACGAACGAGAGTATTAAAGTGTTTCTGGTTGAATGCATTACGTAAAATAGGATTCTTTTTCTGATTTCTCTCTCGAATGATCCTATCAGTTGCACTCACATGAACTCCATTGGGCCTCTCTGGGTGGAAGTACCTGATTATTAGATTTAAAAAAAACATTTGGAAACAATTAAATTACTTGCACTTATTTCCATATGTGCATTTTCTGGCATATGGACATAATTGAGAATTAGAAGTCGAAGAGTGTTTAGACAGAAACTGATCTAGAGTAGGTCCGTGTCTTCCGAGAGGATCATCAGGTGGCATAAACCTAACATTTCATAAATGTTAATGAGAGCCATTTGAGATTCGGCGACTTACTTCCCATCCACAAATGAGTACATCAGTAATCTATTCTCTACTAGTTTGGCATATTGCGGGTTCTCTCGTACTAAATCTCTGAAATATATGACATTTTCTCTCCTTATGTGAATGAGTAATAACCTATATTCATCATTTGAAACAATTACAGCGTCCTTCTCATCGGCTGTTTTCAAAATATAACGGTCGTCATGACAAACAATTCTCCGGCCATTAATTCGTCTTAATATCTTTTTTATATTTGCAAATGAACTATCAATTGAACCTTGATGGAGTCCATATGATCCTTCCTTCATTATCTAATTCAGTAAGCACGTGCTGATCGGTAAGAGGACAATCAGCTCGAGCTACTTCCCTTCGAAAGTGAGGAATGAAAACTAAAATGTCTTGATGACCCTTGTCAACAAAGAATTGGACGCAATCTCTAATTCCAGCACAAGAAAAGACTTCTTTTCTTCCGTGTCTTGAAAAATATTTTTTAAACTATACTAAGTCCAGCGAACTTACGCCATTGCAATATTTGAGCCATCGATAACAATAGAGCGAAGTTGGGGCGAAGAAGTTGATTTCAAAGAGCTTGCAGATGCTTCAACTTGTCCTTTCTCTAAACTAGCTTGTCCCGTGTTTACCAGTTCAGCCAGTATTCGATCCTTCAAACAATATTTGAATTTGCTATTTTTGTATCATTCATACTTGGCCAGCTTCTGCTCCAACTTTGTTCAAAACTGTTCTCAACTGCTCCTCTGTGTAGCCAACATTTCTGGCAAACTGCAGCAGGTCAGCAGGAATGTCGATAGTTTCAAGTATGACTCCTTCGTCTAAAATTAACTTTGTTAAGCATACAAATTCCGAAGAGAACTTTCAACTATAGTTTGATCAGAAATATGTGAAACACACCTATATTGAGCTGCGCAATCTTTCTTGATAAGCCGTCGGAGTTTTCACGACTTAGAGACACATGACTTTCTTCCGAGCTCGAAGAATAACAGGAGTCATAATCAAACTGTTGTTGATAATCAGCAAGATTCCAACTTCCTGCTCCAGATGGCGTGGAAGATAATGATAATCTTGTTGGATATTTTGGCAACAAAGCTTGCTGTTTGCAAGATTGCAGAGGTGACGGCAATGACGGTGTTGACACATTTGCTGGAGGAGTTGAAGGTGTGGAAGAGCATGTACTAGATGATGATGGTGAATAATATGAATTTCCATCTATCACTGTAGCAGTTGATATACATAGTGATGGATCAACTTTCTGTGGACTTCCATGCATAACACGTCGAAGAGGAGGATGAGCTCGCTCCATCGTTCGTTTTGACTGCAAGAATTTGAAAATGAAAAGAAGGAAGGAAATATAACGAAATACTAATTATATGTTAAACAGAGATCTATCATTACGAAATTTAAACGATTATCATCATAAATAATAGGATTAGTCAACATTATAATAAGATGGATATATAGTAGAAGATTATACAAATGACGAAGAAGAAGATGAGATTACCAACAATCAGAAAAAGAGAAAAGAAAAATCAAAAAAAAGTTGTAAAAATGAAAAATGATTGAAATCAAGAAAATATTCGTTTTGAAACTGATGGAAATGGAACGATAGGGAGTTCTCTGGAAGAAGTCCGAGAATGAGCTTTTGGTATTTGCTCTGTCCCATGCTCCAGGCACCTCTGTTCTTCTGATTTGATTCCCTTTCTCTAATTCTCTTGACTCTTGTGATGTTAGCGAAGAAAAGAACTGGACATGCGTCTATATACAGACGAATGTTCTTCAGTTACGAAGCTCAAGATTGAAATGTAATTGAAAAAGACATTAAAACATAAATAGTATCAGTGAAATGAATTGGATAGCACCGGAGGTTCAGTTGTGCTCTTTTTGTCTTTTAAGTCTTCAGAGTCATTATTTCGTTTTGACTCTCTCTCACTCTCATTCTCCATACGTCTATCAGATCCAGTTATTGCATGAACTGGTCATCTACGACGATGACAGGAAGATGAACCATTCAAATGGCTCTGCAACGATACTTGCTCTCTCTTCATATGATCCCACAAAAATTTTCTTGTTGATTAAGAAAACAAAGAACAACGAAAATAGAAAATATGGCACAGAGGGTGAAAGGTAAATGAAATAAAAGCAAATTGGGCCGTTGAGCACCGACCACTAGCATAGATCATTAAGAAAGATGAGAGAATAGAAGAGCAAATGATGAAAATTAGAAACGACGGCGATCTCTGTTCCAGAAGGAGAATGTCCAGACTAGAAAGCTAAGCATTTGAAGCGAAACCGGTTAAAAGCCGAATAAGCAAATAATAGAAAACACTAAACACAGTGTTTGAAAAGGTCGATGTAGATTAGGTGTGAGCAAATTGGAATAATTCTATTAGACATCCTTTTGTTGCAAAGGTGCCTCATTAATAAATTTCATTTAAAAGTAATGTTATAGAATGAGAGAAAGAGAAACAGAGAGAGAGAGAGCAAGAAAAGAAGCAGTGTGATGAGAGCTGGAGAGAGGGAGAGAGAAACAGAGAGAGAAAGTAAAATAATGCAATTAAATGAGAGTCAAGAGATTACAATACAACCGCTCTACATCTAGTAATCATTTCAAAAATAATAATGTTCACGTGAGGTATTCTCACGTGCATTATTGAACTTATTGATAGATAACGACTAGGCTAGTGGCCATAGATGGAACTGCACATCAGAGAGGGGACAGGTTAATTGAATGTTGTTTATATGTATTGTCTTTGGTTTATATAAAAAGGTATTTTTCCATTTCATTCAACACAAAGCATGATGCAATTATGTGATTATGAAACTATAATAGCTATTTTGGCTACAAGTTCAAACTGAAAAATCATTCGTTATCATAATGTAAGAAAAACCTTATATAGCGCTAATGGATTATTCAAGAGAAAGAGAGAGAGAGAGAGATATTAGACTGTGAGAGAGATGAAAGTATAAGAGATGATTATGAAGTAAAAAAAGGAAAAACAGCTCTCTCTCTTTCTCTTCCTCTCCCTCTCTCTCTTTTCCTCTCTCTCTCTGTGAAGAAGATGAAGAAGAGGGAGAAAGTTTTTGAAAATTCAATACATTCAAATCTGTTGTTGCCATTTCTATTTTTGTTCATAAAGATAAACAGATTGAATTCTGATGAAAATCAACAGTTGAAATGTCGGAACTTAGAATTCTATTTTTGGTTGTAGCAGCTGTGATTTGTAAGCTGAACAAGAAATATAAAAAAAAATTTCGAATAGAGATGAATATAAGTAAAAATAGCTTGTAATAAGTAAAATGAGAATATATATATGAGAGTATGAAGAACGTGTGCTTAATGCTTCATCAAAAGAATTCAAAGGAGTGTGAGAGAGCGAATGAAGGCTATGTATATGTAAGTGAGATAAGCATTAAACATCCGGTCTTGAAAAATTCTCAATGGAGGTACGGGACGTCAGTATACGGATGCTATCTAGCATATGTCTTATCATGAATAAAAAAGATAAAAATATATAGGGGGGGGGACTCTAATAAGATGAATTGAAATGAATGTGTGGTGTGTGGAGGAAGTGAAGGAATGAGAAAGATAAGGGTTCTCATGTCTCTTAAGGCTTCCAGAAGATATCATATAATCATGCTTTTTAAAGAAACAACTACTACTATGTCTTTGTTATGCTATGCTATTTGCAAATGCATGCATGCATGCTTGAAAGTTGTTTTTAAAGTTACAAATATGGATAGAATTAACATAATTTGATAAAAAATGAGAAAAAATAAACTTCAAGTAATGAGAATGATTTTAGTAGACATGGCCATTTTCACAAGGGCTTCATTGGATTCGTAATATCGGCGCTCTTCTCTCGTCGTCAAGGTTCATGCTTCTGGACATCTAGCTACATCTAAACCAACAAATCAATAAGCTACCGCTGGAAGAACACAGGATCTGTTTAAAAGGAAAGAAAATGAGAAAAGCATGGACACGAGAGATGTATTAAGCGAGGGCCAACATAATCTTCAACTGATGAAAGGATTTTCGTAATCTTTTTTATGAAATATCAAAAATAATTTTTTTTTGTCATATTCATTGTTATTTATAATATTCACTCAATACAACTGATTTCATGTGTGAGTATGTCTCTGGCTTAGAGGCTCCTAGAAAGATTTCGCAAGACGAAAGGGTATGGGGTGGGGAAGTGACGAGAAAAAGCCGAGAAACTTATTTTCATTCATTCATATATATATAGCATGCTTGTATATTAAGTAACGGAAGGGCAAAGTCTTAGCTTAATCCTCTTTTGACATCATCTTATCAGTTTCTTTTCTATTAATTAGTATTAGCTTGTTTACGCCTTTTTTTTTATAGAAATTCCACTTTCTTTTCATCTTACCGTCTCATCGACAAAGTTTTTTTTTGAGATGAAAAAAATTTTTTTTAATCTAAAATAAAAAAATAATGTTAAAATGAAACATCTTGGCTTTCCAGATTGCTCAAGCAATACTTGGAAAGATTACGTGGGCGCTGATTGGTTAACGTGGAAAATCCACGTGAAACAGATGAAAGGAAATTCATTTCTTACTTGCATTACATTAGAGCGGTTGATAATGTATCTAGACGAGAACTATCTGTTATCACACATCATCTATCATTCATGTCATTTCGAATCAGTTTTGATTTAGTTGCATAAACATACCTAATTTTGTATTCTTACATTAGCATGGAAATGTAGTTAACATGATAGAGGCTCCACCCCATATTCAATATATATTCTGACCAGCATTCAAAACCTTTACTTTTTCTCTTTTGATATTTCTATAATTCTCTTCGTCAGTTATATATCTATGACCATGACCAATTATTTCATCATTCGATTAAAAGTTTTCTCCCCCCTCCTCTCTCATCAACCAACCTGCTTAGCGCACCCCACAACCAACTACGTTTCAGTTTAACTTAATTTTTGGGAAAACGAACTTTGTTGTGTTTTTTCCCTATCGCCATCTTAATATTTCAAAATACTCATCTCCTTATCTGTCTTGTCTTTGTTGAGTCAACACACTTCGAAAAGCCGCAGCAACAACTTTCCTCGAATGATCTTCATTCGCTTTCGCTTCTCGTCATTGATGTCTATCCCCTTATGAGCTAGTTGGGAAGAAAGTTTTTGCACAAAGCATGACCACTAAATAATTTTTTTCTTCTTCCTTTCTTTTCACATATCTCCTGTTTCATGAAGTATTTCATTATTTTTTGGTTTTATTGATGTTAAAAATCAATGGAACGTTTGGGAAACTGTTTGATAAGTACTTGATATCGTATGACATTGCTGGCTATCCTTCTCATTCATTTTACATTTTTCAATTTCCTAACATATAGTATCTTCCTGTTCTTTTTTTTCATTTCCTGTCTAATCAGCTAAAATATTTTGGCAATCTCTCTTGGGAAATTGATAGTTTCCCTCTCTCCTTCAAATTATTTGCCGTTTTTAATACCTGACTAAAGTGGTTATTTATTATATATTATAATGCAGAACAATGACGGGGAGTAGGTGACGAAGGCGAGGCCAAATACACACACCCTCTCACAGCTATTTTTGTCAGCATTGAGGTTTTTTCTTCTCATTTTCAGAAAAGAAGACGAAGAACTTGCTTCTAAGGCTTTGTCGGTCGTCGCCAGCCGCTTTAACAGGGGCTGGAACAAAAATTTTTTGACAGAATAACTAATGGTTTCTTACCCTTGGGAAGTTACTACTAACTCTATGAAATTTTGGTTTCTTCTCTCTTCCTCAAACCCAAAAGCCATGTGTCAACTCTCTACAAACATTTACCGATAGTTGGCTTCATTTTATTTTCCTCACTCTTTCTTTCCTGCGTATTCGCAGAAAACTGAGGCATTTAATTCTCAAACATTGGCATATAAATCTTCCTCTCTACATCTTTCGTCTCCATTCTTCCCTAAGTGAGGAATCTCGAGATTGGCATTCTTGTCTCGAACCTCTCCACTTCAATATATATTAAAAAGTTTGAATCTGAATGTTCTAAATACAGCTGCAAAACCAAAGATCGTAACTATAGAAACGATAACCCTCACAAGCAAACGAATAAAATTCTCCTCGGCCTATCATAATTCCGTCCTACTCAATGGTCCTGCTGAAATTTAATATTTCGTTCATTACTCACTTTTCTCTACTTAGAATGTAAACTGAGAATTGAGCAAAGCCCTACCAGGCATCAAACTGATATTCGAACGAGCGAACAGATAGACTCCTTTCACCGCTCTGCCCCAATTCCAAATTTACTCCTTCATTCTTTGCTCCATTTACAATATTCAAGCGCGCCGCGACCGCAACGCTTCAAGATATTAAACAGACGACTCACTCACTATCCTCTCTCTCTGTGCCGTTTTTAGTCTTTGAAGTTAGAGAGAGAAATTTGACATCACATGACAGCGAGAGTGTGGTTTCCTGACTGAGTGAGATCGACAGAGTAAAAAGAGAGCGAGAGTTTTACTTTTCTCCCCTTCTTTTGTTTGCCTGACGTGTTCTTTAGCTGCTCGTCTACAGCGGCAAGCCCTCGTCCGCAGTGCCTCTCCTACCTATGGCGCGCGTCATATGTCGTATCTGACGTTTTCAGACAAATCCATTTTCTTATTTTTTTCTAATTTTTCGACATGTTACAATGACAAAAACATAGTTCTTTCCCATCGCTTCTTTGTGTTTTCGTTTATTATTTTTGGAAACGGTCACGAAAATCATCATCATCATCATCATCCTCCTCCTACGTGTGAATAAGCGTTGGTTCCGTTATCTCTAAAATTTGTTTTCCCATTTCAAACAAATTGTCTATATTTCCTCAGTCTATTGCTGCTGTTCTACTGTTCATAGTCTCTTCAATATTTTAAATTCAGTTTATTTCAAATATTATCGATAATATTAGATAAGATTGTGGGGTTTACGAACAAACAGTGTGATATGTTTTGTCGCATTCGTCCCAAAAACTATTTCGACGATACAGATTTAAATGTTCAATGAGGTTTCATATAGTTCAATTTATTCGTCTAGGTTTTTTTTTATGAAATTATCGATTGGCGCGAACTGCTCTGATCGATTTCAGCTCAGACAGTAGTCACGTGAGAGGTAGTAAATCTTACTTTGCCGTTCTGCTTGGAACTTATGAACCTATTACGTGAAAACGTGAAAAACAGCAAAACTCATTTAGTGATGTGTGTGTACGAGTAGAACGGTTGTTTTGTTCAGTTTTCTAGATTTCTCTTTCGTGTTCTTGTCCTCTTTGTTCAACAATTATCGTAATTCGATCTACGTGCCATTAGTTACCCCTCTCCCGACTCTATTTCATCGTGTTTTTCTTATTTCTGCGTGATATTGATTAACTCAATTTGTTTTTTTAAGAATATGGCAAAAATTCAATCCAATCATCGACATCATAGAGTGGATACTCTATGGGATGCTGATGCAGACAAATACAGAGTTTTCTGTCGTAAGATCCATGTTACCAAGGTAAATTTTTCTCTTGAAGTTGGAAATTCTTTCAATTTTGCTATTTAGGCCACCCAATTTATTGGCCTTGTTCAACTTGTCATTATGGGAATATTCAGTATTGCTCTCCTCTTCTTCGCCACCAAAAATCTGAATGTGAGTCCCTATTAACTTTCATACATGCTCAGTGAGAATGTTTTTAGGGAAACTTCAACGAAAATGAGTTGTTGGGAAGTATGGGAAGACGATACATCACCTCTTTCTTCACCGCCATGGTCCTCCAATTGGCTTTGGTTCTCATGATGCTTCAAGGTGTCCGTACTGAACGCCGTTCCCTTCTTCTTCCATTCATCATCTTCGCTTCTTTTGCCGTATTTTTGGCCTTTGTTCAGGTAGCAACAACAACATGAAAAAGAAATTGGTTGTTTTCTTGCAGGCTTCATCCGACTTTGTTGCCGCCGCTCAAGAACAACCAGGAGCTGCCACAGGAACTCAGCTTTTCTGCCACATCATCGGAATGTGCATGCACCTTTGGTGCGTAGGAGTCGTTTGGCGTTGTTATTGTTATCTCGGAGATAAGAAGGTATAGAATAGAGAGAGAAGATATATATATATATTTTCTGTGTTCAGGTTGCCGAGCAAATTGGTCAGCAACTCCAAGTTACTTCTCTTGCATTTGCCTATGACTATTCTCAGCCTCCTCCATATGCTGATACCGTTGTTGAGAAGCATCCTTTGACCATTGCATAAACGAACGATCCCTCAGTTTGTCACGGTGGAATACTAACGTTCCCATGTTTTCTCTTTTATTTTCTCTACAAGTTTTGTTTGAACTTTAAAATCCCGCTGTAATCAGATCAGTTTTTCTTTTCATGAGAAAATAGAGGAGACTACCACAAAATTCTCTGAATTCGTCTCGTCACAGTAATTGTTCAGCGGCTCGTTTTAAATCATCACGTTTTACACACACGCACAGATCCTTCTCAAAGATCATCTGGATATTTTGTTTTAATGTTTATTTCTGATTTAATTCCAAATTTCCTTCCCATTAATTTAATAATAAGTGTTTATGATTGGTCGCATCCTACTTTACCCTCGTTACATGTCCCCGAAAGCTCGATCGGTCGTTCACAATTCCTTCTTTGCAATTTCGTCAATTCAGCAAACCTCCTACAGTTCTCAGTTCTCATAAAACTCCTGATGAAGACGATAACCTACATAGCAATTTTATGAAAGTTCTTTTGGAAGTCTCAGAAGTTTAGTGAGGAAAAGATAATTGGTTGGCTTAAATCTACCTTTTGCTGATATTTAATTTGCTTTATTCCTTACTCATAGTTAGTGGTATCAATGAAATCATCACTTTCCAATAATATTCCGAATAGCAGTTGAAGTTGCAGTTCCTCTTGTGATATCCGCAAGCTGGCTCAACAGCTACTGATATTCAGACATCCTGTTCTCTTATGTAGATGCTGGTAGTAAATGTTCTGACCAATTTCAACCAGGTATTCACCCAATTCTCAGTTTTCTTAACCGACATGTATGTTAACTCCATTTGTTCCATTTTTTGTGAATGTAACACTTGTAATAATGTCTTCAGTTCAAATAAAAGACGAGTTGAAAAAATATTTTTTTGCTCTTTTCTCTAAATCGCGCAAAGCACACGAAATACAAAACGTTATAAGTTCTTCTATCCAATAATCTATATACTCATCCATTTATATATATATATATAAATATGAACAAAAATCTGATATATAGTAAGCTCTATAAACTAGAAAAGTTTGAAAACAATTTTACAAAACAACTTGTTATCACCGGAAGAAAAATGGCCGGGAATGGTAAAGGAACGGAACTTAAGGAACCTGTATGTGCAAAGTAGTGCTACTACACCACCATTGCCAAACGAATCTCATAGTATTATTTTGTATTCTTTGAAGTTAGATAGAATGATCTGCATAATATTAGTTTTCTATACGAATAATACAGAGCCATGGAAAAGACAATGGTCAGTAAAGTGAAGAGACGCAAATTGATGAGTCTATCAACTTGAAAAACAAAATATATGGACTGTTCGTCCCTATACATTAAGAAAACATTGATTATGTTCAAAAATTATACCATTTCTTCTTCTCAAACTTTTCCACAAGCTTGGTAGATCGGGAAGCCATGTTCATGGCAGAGTTTTTCAAGTTTTCCGTCGAATCAACAACTGCGTTCAGTTTGTCAGAGCGTTCGTTTAAGTTCTAAAACGAAAAAATCAATATTTATCGTATAAACTCATATTTGGAATGTAGAAGAAAGCTATAACAAACCTGAAGAGCCATTTGAGCAGCTTGTCCCGCGGAAATTCCACTGGCGTGTGCTCTATCCATGTTCGCAGCCGGTCCAGGTATAGTTCTGGCTATACTTCTCATTCCAGCGGATCCACCAATAACACTTTTATCCTTGTCACCAGACACTTAAATTGAGGAGAAATAAAAATAAAAATTGCTTGAAAAAACTAACAAATGCATTCCAGATCAGTGGCATCGGCTTGTCGGGGAGAGTTACCAAATATGCTGGAGACGCCTTTTAAAAATGACGAACTTTTTGGTGCTTCCGGCATTTCACAAGTAACATAAAGTTCACCCATTGAATCTGCCGTTTGTTCCGCTAACTCAGTGCATATTGTGTACTTCTCCATCTGAAAGTGATTTTATAGTAAACAGAAAAGATTTTGATCACTCATTCCACTCACCTCACTAGGACTAGTCATGAAAATGCCAAGGCCATGTTCAGAGAACGCTGTCTGATGACAAATCCTATAAAAAAAAGAACATTTTGTAAATATCCGAGAAATAACAATCATAGCAGCTGCTACATACCCCATACATTCGCCAAAAAAGGGAGAAAGCAACCAATTCATTTATCAACAGAATGGGAGTAAGTGTTTTGACTATCTCTTTCAAGTTATGTACAAGATAAAAGGTGAATGTTTTTCTACGTCCCTTTTCAAAAACCTTTTCGGCTCAAATCAACCATTTTGCATAAAATTCTGCGACGTTTGTACTTCACGTGATTCACGTAAATATCATGGTTTCCGTGAATGACGTCAATCACGCCATTACATTCATTTCGATTTTTGCTCACACTGAACTGGTTGCTTTCGTTCATTTTGAAATAAAAGTACATTTTTCCAGGGTATTTTCGATACTCAAATTGTATACTCACGGATCATCGACATCGACTGAACGGGGCAATAGTTGTGCAGAGTGAAGTAACCGTAGAGATGGTAATGAAATAACTTGGATGTAGCCAGCGGCTGTTAAACACATAAGCACTGGATGACCTCTTACATGGGTTGGGACAGCCTGAAAACTCGGTACCCAGTATTACTACTGGCTAGAATCAAATAATCACCTTCACTAATGGTATTTCCTCCGTTTTGTAATGGAAAGCTTGGCTGAATGAAGGTAAAGCTATAACTTTTATTTCATTTTCAGCCACAACGATTAAAAACTAAAAAGGAAAATGAAAAACATAAATCAAATATTTGAGTTAAAAACCTGGTTGACTTCATCAGAACAATCAAGTGAACTGGAGTAAGCAGGAGATAGGCTGGGCTTGGTAACAATCTAAACGTCAAGATCAGAAGAATGGTTGAAAAATAAATGTTGCCTTATTAGTAACAGATTTTTCAGGGCTTCCGGAATCTTTACTTTCACGACTTGATTCTTTATAGGATTCGCTAGCTGGAGAGACGATACAGAACTTTTCGTCCATGAAAGCGTGTAGAAGTATTTGTCCCTTCATTCGTACGATAGTGCCTAAATAACAAGAATTGAGAAAAAGTATTGGGTAAATGGCAAGCACACGCCACATGACGGCTAAAACAGAGTTCTTTACTAGACAACTTTCTACAGCAGGTTGTGTATAGCTTTTCATGAGAGAACCATTATTATACAACACATTTTTTATAGATGTTCGATAGAATGTAATAGGTAAGTAGATGGCCTGAGGCATGCACATGATAAGGTAGAACCGAGGATGTCTTCAACTTAAAATCACATAAACAACAACTAAGGTTACGATTGTATCCAAACATAAGTCCATTGGATACTTTCCGTCTAACGAGTACATTCCTCTACTTATCAAAAAATAAAATAAAAGAATCGATGGGCATTCAATCGGATTCCACATACCTTTGTCATATCGTAATGCTTTCACACGCACTAAATAAATGGCGAATTAGCTTACAAACCAAAGCTAAGCAATTATGAACAGAAAATGAAAACAAGAAACAACTGATTGATCCAATAAGTTGTTGATGGAGTAACCATATGACTGTTTGAAACTCAAATTAAAATCTCCTCTCACACGACTGAACTTTCAACTGATGAAAATGAGGAATACACAAAGCTTAGAAATCTCTCAGTATGGCAACAAACAACAACAAAGGCAAGGAGATTAAAGCACAGACTACAAAGCTGTTAGTTTATGAATATTTGGAAAATTAGTTATACTTACAGTCTTCAAAAGCTGAAAAAAAAGGTTTCATTCGTTAAAACAAGTTGGAAATGAAAGCTTAGTTGAAGGAAGAGAAAGAGTGTGAAAATGGAAAGAGTGTAAGAAAGAAAACATACCAGATGGAGCAACAACTACTGTGGAAACCAATCGGTCCTGAGGCAGAATGAGGTTCAAAGCAATAGCTGCTCCTGTGCTTGTTCCTATCCAGATGCATGGAGACGTCTTCGCTTCTGAAGCATTTGCAGTTAATAGAATGTTTTGATGCTGAGCAACCATTTCGTTTGGAACAAGAGTGGATGAATTGAACAGAAGTAACGCTTTCACCGAGGCCTAACTTTTCCAAGCTATGAGTGCTCACAGCTGGAGAAGATGTGTTTCCACTGCGTGATAAGGACGGGGATTCCTTTGGATGTTCTCCTATAATATAATAAGTTAGTTGAGATGGTGTGGTGTGTGAATGAAGCTTATCCATGGGATCCCAAAAATCTTTGACAACAATTTCATACAACAGTCTATCTCTCTTCTCACCAAATCTTTCTTTTATGGTGAGGATATAGTTAAACAAGCAATTTGAATCGTTAAAATACTCAAAAAATAGTTAGAAAATGATAGAGTTAGACAAGGAAATAGTAGTTCGTTCATCCTTCTGATTGCATCTGCTGACATGCAAATAATACTTGAATACCTCTAGGACTTCCATTAGAATGTTGTTCTATAACTGATTGAGCTTTGAAGAGTAAAGGTCTTTTATCCAACGATTTTTGTCTTGTATCTGTATTAAGACGGATCAAGTTATTACGCGGCTCACTAAGACAGCCGGGGGACTGAAAGAATTGTTAGATCGAAAGAGCTAAGAAAATCTTTTTCCAGATCTAAGTAGTCGTAGAAATCTAATGGTGAAATGTGTGTTTCGAGTAAGTCACAACACGACACCAAGAAAGAAACAAAAAAGGTATTTTACTTGTCCCCCAAGTAAAATATCTCCGATTCAAGCGGCTTATTTCAAGGAAAAGTTTGAAACGAGTTGCTCGATAGACATGCAAATAATTCAATTGTTAAATATTGCACATGGTCATACACAGCAAGCGCACACGCATACACACAAACACACATACCCACAAATATCTTTAAAGCTAACTGAAGTAGATGAATAGACAACCGAAATTTGTATTTCACCCCGGAAATCTTTTCAACAACACTTCAGAGAGAAACCAAATCCATAAAAAGCTTCACAAACCTTCTTCATCAACTACATTTGCATGAAAGGACAAGCTGCGCACTATGTTATCTCTCTTCTTCGTCAATCGTCGGATGATTCCACCTTTAACAGATTGACTCCGAGAGGATGGACGAGCTTGATTCGTGTCCTCAACCTCTTTGCCAGCAACATTGGGTGATGGAGAACGACCGTCTACATCCGGACGATCCGGAGAAAATTTATCTCTAGCTGATGAAGACATTTCAGAAGTATTCCGTCTGAAGATGCTAGACATTCCACGTGACTTGATGGAAGGAGATTTAGAACGTGACTGATAATGCACATCAAGCAGTTCGCTATTGGGCTCTTCCTCCTAAAGCCATCAGAATACTGCACACAACACATATTAATTAAAAAAATAAAACGAATGTTAGGGAGAAAAACTAATAAATAAACAAATGAGAAGCTTATCACATAGCTTACTTCTTCTTCTTTTTTCAGAATAAGCTATGTCATTTTTCAATAACATAAAATTAAACACAAATTGTGAAGAAAGCAATACTAGACTGCGAGATCATACAACGAAGCGTAGGATGAGGTTAGGTGATGTTTTCAAGGTTAAGCATGCTTTTTCGGGAAATAATAGAACGAGAGCGTACCTCTAAGGGACTTGATGCATCGCTAAGCTGATTGCTTAACTGAATTGCCGGAGTAGGATCAGAACCGTAAAGTTCAGCTGTACTCCAAGCATATATTAAGGCACATTGGGCAATATCAACAAGTGCTAGACCACTTGTTGTTCCTATGAAATTATAATTTATTTTTCATTTCATCAATTATTTACCTATTGCAATTACTCCGTATGCAGAATTGAGAGCTATTGATGTAACCATATCCGATGAGACATGAGATGGCCAGGGTATGAGACAAGCTAACTCAGGCTTAAAGAGCATAATAAGAAAACATGAATAATGTATTTGTATATACCTGGTAGCCTGCAGGTCGTTTAACTGGTGCTCCTCTGACTTTGAAAGGCACAATACGTTCATCACCCGAAGCATCACTCGTATCTGGGCTTGCAGTTGAATCTCGGCTAACAACCTATAAAGAAGAAATCATATCTAGGAAACAGAACTTTTTGGTATCCATCAAGCTGGAATGATAGGTTTGCATATGGGAATAAGAAAAAATAGAAACAGGAAAAAGCGAAAAGGATGTTTCGGAAGAGAAAAGACATCGGTTTCGTGCAAACTAAGGTAATGAATGAATATGAATGAAGAAGCAGGCTTATGTGTGAGGGCTTTACGTTATGAAATTGATTATTCAAAGACACAAAACGACGTGCGTGATCCATGTTTACCACATGATTTGTCACTTTTAGCTTATAATAATTATATTTCTATTTCTTTACTGTTGCATAACTGATAAGTATAAGGCGACATGGAGAAAGATAATGATGAAAACCGTCGTCGATATATATTAGCCAAAAGCTTAAATGGTACTATTATTTCATTAATTTTTTCATTATAGTCCTTGTCAATCAGAATACAATTATTCTTAAAAAATATGTTTCACATACCTTCTTCTGACGTTTCATTTCCTTTGATGATTGAGATGAAAGACCTGGTCGTTCATCAACAATAGACGAATTAGATGTAACACATAAATTAGGAATATGAACTACCTGCAATAAAAAAAATTAATTTCATTCACAACACGAATTTTACCGCAATTGTATTTGTGGTTTCCGACTTAGCAAAACGGAATAGAGTAACTTGTCCAGAAATTCCGGCTACCAATAATAAGCGAGACTTAAACGAACATAACTATATTATAATATCAGATATCGAACAACAAACCTCAAGGCACATTTCAATATATTTTATAGCATGTGATACTTTTTCTGAAGATTCTAATTCTTCTAACCGCTCAAAGTGAGATCCAGTTTTAAGGCGATATAATATTTGAAGATTTTCACCGGATGCCTGCCAAAAACGCAGACTACCATCCTTATGTCTGAAAATGAGCAAACTATTTCAGTTTCTAATCATTGTAATTGAATGCAGCCGCATATCTCAGTTTTTATGAAGTAAAATGAAATTGAATCGGTGCATCAGATGCAGAGAATTATACGTGACACAGCGTATGCTAATTTATTGCTCAACGAACATACCCCGTAATAACTAATTCTTGAAATCCCGTAGCACACTCTCTTCCATGACCCCCATTGATTGGCCATTGCTACAAGTTTTGATATAAGGTTGAAACAGTTATGCTCTCTTACTCTTTCACTAAATCCTTTTTTGCGTTGCTTATAACCAACTAATGTCAAAGCTCCTATAAGATCAGATGGACAATCTGAGTAATACTGAAGACAAGTGACAGGAGACTCATGAAGATCCATTGCATGAGGAGATTCAATTATAGGATAGCTAGAATATGTTCAGATGTTAGAAATGAAACAATGAACGGAATACCCAGGAGTCTGTAAATCTATGATCATAAGATCATGCTTCAGCAGAACAGCAATAGCATGAGGTTGTTGAGGAGAAGAGTTATAAGGCACCTTCAATTCAATGGTAACTCAAACAGTTTACAAGGTTGTCTCACTTGTTGTAAAGTTATGAAAGATATTATGGGATTTTCCATTTCCATTACGGTTGCATGACGGGAGGCTTTGAGGATTGTTAAAGCTGGAGGAGGTAAGCCATCGTCTGTGGGCATTCCTTCAAAACAAATGTGTTCAAGGAGCAAATGATTATGAGTTACCTCCAGAAAAGACAACAACTTGCTCATTTTCACCGGTATGCTTCCAATCGATATTAGGAATGGGACGGCAATCCGTTTGTCCATGTGGGAATGACTGGAATAGTAAACGTTTAGAGTGAAATTAGAAGACTGGGAAAAAAACCTTATGCGCTGGCTCGGAGGTTTTTTTTGTATTGAAGACGGACACGGAGCCATCAACATTCCCAGTCATAACCTGTTTACCATCGTAATGCCATCTAAAATATTCAATTATTTAGCTAATTTTATAAACAACTTACGAAACACTTTTGATGGGAGGATCTAATGGAAAACGATCAACTTCCTTTGTGGCCAAATTCCATTGGATAACAATACCCCGTTCAAAAGCTATCAAAATCTTTGATGGATCAGTTGGACAAGCGGCTATTTGTCTCACAGGTCCCGGATGAATTCGGCAACTTCTGAAAAAGGAGAGAGAAGTGTAAAAAAACGAATTAAAGCCTACAAATCAATGGCTTTGTTCCACATAATAACATACGGACTAAGTTGGAAAGTGTCGAGTGAAACAAAGTAAACATTTCCCTGTAAGGAACGAGAAGTAGAAAGAGTAGAAGAAAGGAAAAGAACTACCTTAATCGTTCCAACATATAAATATTTACTATTCATAGGTAGATGGATAGTTGATACATTCTCCTTATTCATTTCTATACTTAACTTAATTTCTGGAACTTTCAGTCGATAATTCCATAAATGTATCATGTCGTTACTACATGCTGTTATTAAGGAACCCTGTAACATAACATTCATGAATCAGGGGATGAGAAGGAAGTAGACTTACGTCATTAATTACGAATTGAATATGGTTCACTCCATGGTCAGTTCCATGTCGAAGGATATGATCCACACCGACTTCTCCTGAATTCAGATGATAGGTAAGTAAAGATGAAGTGAAAAGTACAAACCTATGATTCGAACAGTTCCATGTTCGGTGCCTATGGCTAAAAGCCTTTGAACAGGATCATAAGCAAGACAGCGAGATTCATCAGGGAAACCAAATCGAACAACCTAAAGAAGAAATCCCTCGTATTGTTTCTTTCTGCTTCCAATTGGAAATTGGGGAGGATTGCAAAGGAAATTCGAAACCATAAAACATTGGAAAACAGAACTATTAGATGTGAGAAAATGGACTGATTTATGTATGGAATGTGGGATAGGAGAAGCTAATGATAATGGATTGGTTGAAATGTGAGTTGCTAACCTTTTTTAGACAACAATGCTCACTGTTGACACGTTCATCCACAGAAATATCCATCTTACTGTGATTAGAGCGAAAGCCATCTAGGGCTGAAGCTAGTCTGCAATAATTTAAAATACAAAGGCTTTCTTCTTTCTGCAGCAAACAAACCTTCTTTTAGCTTTATCCATCTTTTGCAACTGACCTAGTTAGCTGTTTATCTTTATGTAAAACGATAATATGATGTATTTCTACTAAGATGTATTCCACATTACTTACTACTGAAATATTATAAAAGATAAGAGTACAGAGGAATAATTAAAAAATCGATAATTCATAGTGAAATATAGATATGTTGACTATATATGGATATATTTATACGAAGAGAGAGAGATATATGAACCTGATATGATTTTAAATGAATAGAGCCAATGCATAACAAGACATTCTCATAGGAATAAAAAAGGAAAGAGAGAAACAGAGAGGGAGAGAAAGAGAAACGAAAAAAGAGAAAGAGAGAAAGAGAGAGGGTGGAGAGAAGCAGCAAGCGAGGGAAGGCTTGGCAAAAAAATAAAAAAGATGAACTACTCGTAACGATAACGACTATGATGATGACAAAACAGGAAAAAGAAATGTCAGATAATAAAAAAAATGAATTAATATGGTCAAATTGGGGAGAATCTGTAGTGACCGTGTGATGTAATGGTGGAGTGGTGGTGAAGAGAAAGGTTTATAAAGAACCATATATAGCATTGGAATATGAGAGGGTGCAAAAGAAAAAAGACAATACGAGAGGGAAATATAAGGGAGACGACGGAAAGCTTGACGATAAAAACGAGAAATAGTACGATGGAAGAAGACACGAATCTATCAATGTCTGACACCTTCTGATAGAAAAGAAATTCTGTAAAAAGTTGGAAGAGGAAACAAGCGGGAATGAGCTTCAAACACACACAAATTAGATCAAGTAAAATAATTTTTTAAAGACACACAGGATAATTGAGGTTGCTAACGAAGGAGAAGGGTGAGGGGGGGGGTGGAAGGATGGGTGTATGTCAGAGGGAAAAAAGACTAACAGAGAGTCAATAAAGAGAGAGAGAGAAAGAAAGGAAGTGAGGACAAATAAGTTAGGAAGAGTAAATGACGTCTGTTCACCGAAGTTAGACGGTCTTTGAAATGAACGAGGTAAGTCGTGTATGTATGTATGAATGTATGTATGTGTATATGTATGTGAGTGAGTATGTGAGTGAGTATGTGTGTGTGTGAGTGTGAGTGTGTATGTGTGTGTGTATCTAAGAGATAAACAAGAGAAACAAGAAGAAAGATGAATAATAGAAGGAATTTTATTTAAATGTTATCACGCTATCTGGCGACTAATAAAAGTTTTATATGAAATTATTGACTTTTGCCCTCGAAAAGATACGTGATAGCTGGAGAGAGGATTACAACCTACTGTAATAAGCTTTTTCCACAAAAAAAAACTTGGATTAAGCTGAAAAAGGAAATACGTGAAGCTTCATTACGTAAGCAGACGAATATAAACATTTAAAGAGTTGTCTCTCTTTCTCATTCACCCTCTTTCTCTTTGTAACAATATTGATTTTCTAAGAATAAATGTTCGAAAAACAAAGAAAACAAGCATATTCGGAGCGGGGGGGGGGGGGGGGGGTAAGGGGAAAAGAGTTTGAAGTACAAATTTAATTGTTTTTGGCTCAATCGATTGCAATCGATTGAATTGAATGGAGGATGATAGTAGAAGTGAAGTATATAGAACGGAAATACAGGCTTTATGATGGAAATAAAGAGGGAAATTTTAGAAGGAAATGAGGGAAGATGGAAAGGGATGAAGCCAAATGAATCTGAAGCGCAAAAGAACGATTCTACTCATGAAATGGCTGTTGTGGAAAAGAGATAAGAATGAATAAATGGTGTGAAAGTAAGGAACAGATAAGGTGGAATAGAGAAGACGAAAGGTTTTGGACTAAAGAAAAAGAGAAAAAAAAATTTGTCCGAAGAAACATTCAAGAAGATTCTTCAGACGATATTGGGAACAACGAACATGGTAATAAGGATGAATTGACGAAACATCAAAGTCTATATTCAAACACAAAATAACTTTCAAAATAAAGAGAGAGAGAAATGAGAGGAAAGAAAAATGAAAGGAGGGGGGAAGAGAGAGGAAGAGAGAGAGGTAGAGAGAAAAAGTTGAAAGGATTATTTCCATATAAAGAAGCACATACACAGCTTGTGCTATTGGCTAGCTTCATCCAGCCACACCAGCAGTACCACCAATAGCGCACACACTTGCATTCTCTTTCTGGCTCTTACTCTCTCTCTGCCATACAAGCACAAAACCTCTTTCTCTCTCTCACTTTCTATTTCTTTTTTTTCTCTCTCATCCTGTTCATCTATCTATTTCTCTCTCCCTCTCTCTCTCTCTCTCCCTCTCTCTTTCTCTCTCTTCTTTTTTCTCTTGGATGGATGTTTGAGAATGAATGTATGTAGTGTATGTGACGGCAGGGCGAATTCTCCTTTTCTCCTTTTAAACACAAGAAGAACATCTTCATGTTGTAAATTAGCATATCCGGTATATATAGTGGCAAAAGCAATAAGAAAAGATATATATAGTTAATTGAAAATAAATAATATAATTCATATAATATAGATATATATAAATTAAAATTACACGTAAGAAGAGGATAATGTACACCTAACTATATAAGGAATATGCATGTTGTGTGTACTAAATTGTCTTGTTTTTGTTTACAGGACTTCCCTTTGATGCTTGAATTTAGTTTCCATTGAATATAAATCTTTAAAAAACCTAAAAATGCTGTCAAAAATAGAAAGAGACACATCACACAGAGATCATCAAAAATATAGAGAGAGAGAGTGAAAGAGAGAGATAGAGAGAGAGATAGAGAGATGAAGAGAGAAAAAGAGAGAGAGAAAAAGTATGTGAAAGAAAGATAGATGTATAGATATAGAAAGTATAAGAGGGAAAAAGAGAAATAGAGCATTAAGAGAGAGAGAGAGAGAGAGGGAGAGGGAGAGAGAGAAGAAAGAAAAGTCAGATAGATGTTGGCTGGGAGGAAATAATGGAAATTGACGGAATAACAGAGACTTAAAAATTAAATTTTCTCAATCTCCAAATAATCTTTCCTTCAGAAAAAGAACAAATTATAAAAAAAAGGAAGAAAAAAAAAAGCGGATGGTGAGGGAGGATGAATGAAGGAAGAGGATAAAGAGAGATAGCGAGAGAAAGAGAGAAAAAAAAATGAAAAAGAACAACCGCTTCGTTCGTCAGCAAGAGAAGAGAATGAAGCAGCGGATTTCAGGCAAAAGCTACGTCAATTTCACGTCAAAAATGACACAAAAGGACAAAAGAATGTTTATTTTATGAATTTTGTTTTTTTTATAATATTCTGTGATAGTGTTTTTGGCAAATAAAGGTATTTTATTTTATATTATTTCTGAAGGAAACAGGTAAAGAGAGAGAGACTAAGAAAGAGAGAGAGAGAGAGATATTGAGAGAGAGAGAAAAAATAAAAAAAATGGAGAAAAAAGACGAGAGAAAAGCTAATAGGAGAGAGGAAGTAGAGCTAAATGAAAAGAGATCAGAAATAGCCTGAGGGTACGTGTGAATAAGCTCTTTGGAACATGTTAGTTTTTAAAAAGAGATTGTCACTCTTTAAAGGCTTTTAGAGGGTCTAACACCTATATTTAACATGGTTAGAGCTCTAGCTGCTTTTTTTTTCTGTGGAAAGCATTACTGATGGACGGACAAGGAAGACAAGGAAGAAGGAAAAAGTTGTTTTTCATGCCGCAAACAGCTACCTTCCCTCTCCTTTTTTTTTTGTTAAAAATAATTCATAAAGAAGGGATGGACTGTCAAGAAAAACTTCAATAGAGAAGTTTTGGCCAACAATTCATCAGACTTCAATATCCATAAACAGTTAACGAACAAGCTGCCAATCAGAAGAAATGAGCTTCTGACTGGCCAAAGAGAGATAGAGAGAGAATTGAATGAGAGAGAGGGAAACATGGAGGAAAAGAGAAAGAGAGAAGAACAGAGGAAAGATGAAGAGTAGGAGGGAGAGGAAATCTTCATTTTTCCAGAGTTTGTGGAAAGAAAAATGAAAAGAAACAGTTAGTTCTTCATTTAGTCTTTAAGCCACCGGATATCAATTAAGCTGAGTTTGTGGAAGTAAAGCTGGTGACTAAAGGAGTGAAGGGGGGTGGGGTGGGCTTATATGTAAGGAAGTTGAATACAGGAAAAAAAAAGAAAGCAATAGTTATAAATTCAATAATAAACTATAGATGGAATTACAACGCCTGGGGGTGATGAATAGAATGAAAATAAGGTGAATTGAGTAAAAAAACGTGAATGGCAAAAGGAAAGCCAACATACACATACACATACACGTACACACACACACACATACACAGCAGCAGCAGCAGTAGCAGCGAATCTTCTATAAGAAGTCAAATATGACGAAGGAAGTGGCGCTTATGAATTCAATGAATACGGGAAAAGTACAGTTCTATAAAAACAAAATATTGGAAGAAATAAAAAAGGTTGAAAGGCCGGAAAAAGCTTGTGAAGGCAAAGGAGGGAGAGGGAGAAAAGGAGCGTGAATGAGATAGTTTAAGGGCTGGAGTGTAGCTGTGGTGCTTTGGCTGGTGAAGGCAATGAAGCTCATGTGTATATGTGTGTGAGTGTATATAAGGAGAAGCAGATGCAAAATTGTGTGAGCAAGAAAGAAAGAAAGAAAAAAAAATAGAGAGAAAGAGGAAAATGAAGGCAGAAAGAGAGCGGGGGGGGGAGGAAAGAAACACGCAAGATAGCCAAAAAGAGAGAATAGGTAAAATAATATGAAAATAGAAGAGAGCATAGACATATAAACAGTTAGAAGCCTATGTATTGATCTCACAAGGAATAACAAAGTTACGAGAGAGAGAAAAGAAAAAAAGGAAACGGATGAAGCAAGACTAAATTTCATTGGATGGAAGGAAGCGAAAAAGAAAAACGGAAGAAGAAAAAGCTTTATGTGAAATATGGTTCGGTTGAGAGCAGTACAGTCTATTGTTTTTATTTATATTAACTGTATTATGACGTATTTTCACGTAAAAATACACGTAGCTTCCGGTCGGCTAAATTTTTTTTTTTTTTTGGAAATTTCTCAGTAGCCGACGGATATAGATATAGATAGATAGATAGATGTGCTATATATGGTGAAAGCGGTTGTTCATCTCATCCTCATCCATTTTTTTTACAAGCTCCACATCATGCATAGAATCATTAAGAGGTAATAGGCGAGAATTTGTTCTAAAAAAAGCTATCTCCTTTTTTGAACGAACAAGCCCAAATGAGCTTCTTCCTCCAGCATCAATAATGACTTCCTTAGCGATCTTTGAACTTTGCATAGACGATGTTTCTTCTTTCTTACCGTCTATTGCCCTTTGTATTAAAACATCTTTTCAAACAAACTTCTTAAAATATTCTTTTAAGTCACTTAAGACAGGTGGTAGAGAGATAATGTAAGTAGCGGAGATAATGAGTGAGATAGAGAGAGAGATATAAAGAGAGAGAGAGTATGAGAGAATGAGAGAGAGTAAGAAGAAATAAAGATGTATTGAGAGAGAGGAATATAAGGATTGATGTGAAAATTGAGAAAATTTAGCTAAAGAAAACTAACGTTGATGTGAAAAGATCAGAATAAAGCCGAAACAGATCAAACATCCGTTTGTGGCAGAAATTACATTTTCCACGTAAAAATGACGTGGACGTGATGGAACACAGATGAATCAGAGAGTGGATAAGATGATTCATTTCGCTCCAATGTAAAAGAAAACCTACTCAAAGGATCAGATAGATAGATAGAGAGAGAGAGAGAGATAGAGAGACAGCTAGAGAGACAGATAGAGAGAAAGAGAAACTGATGAAAAAAAATCTCATAAAAATTAAAAGACATTTTAAAGGAGGAAAAGTTTGTTAAAGAGAGAGGGCAAAGCTTTATTTGCTTTTTTCTTTTCGACTGCATTATGGCAGAATTAGAGACACGTCAAGTACATCAGATGAAAAGCTTATGTTTCATGTCTGACAGGGTCAGTTGACGAGATATTCTTATCAATCTTAGAAAACAAAGAAAATTTATAGCCTATGGGAATATTGAATTTGAAATATATATATATGAAAATAATATAAAAATAAAAAAAAAAAGAGAAAATAAATTAGATTATGGAAGATTTTGTGATAAAATTTCATTTGAATCTCGGCTTAACATCCAGTCTTCCTTCTTCTCGCTCGACTCATAGATTGGACCAGTTGATGGCAATAGTCTGTAACTTTGAATATTTGCTATGCTAATCCAACGAATCACGTGGATCATGACGTGCAAAACCACTATATCACAATTGCATTCGTGAAGAGCGGTTGTTCTGTTTTTCTCATTTCAATAAAACATACGATTGAGGAGTCACGTCGTCCATCTCATCAGCTTCTTCCTTATCTTCTGTTTCATCGAATGGAACCGGATCTTCTGAGCCATCTTCCCGAAGAGGGGTCTGTTGCTCATTCTGAAATATCACATAAGATTACATAATTTATAAGCTTTAGCCTAAAACAACAAACCGTTTCCTGAACTTGCCATCCATCCTTGTCTTGTCCTCCAAGACGAGATGAAGCTTCCTCTTCGAGTCGCTCAACTGAAAAATCAATGAATAAAATAATGGAGCAACTAAAGTACCTTCAGGTAAACGTCTATCTCCTACATAAGTTGTTCTTTCACTTTCATCTGAAACAATTCAAAAAGTAAAAGAGCGAATGGGGGGGCCAGTAAACGAATTACCTGGGGAAACTCTTTGTGGCTGCTCTTTACGTTCATCCCATTGTTGACGACGACGTTCCTCATTTTGACGTCTCTCTTCATGAATTCGTCTTAAAGATTCCATATGACGGCGATAGTTTTCATCTGCATATCGTTCATCAACAACTTCCGCCGTATTCACACCACTACTTAATATTATTTTTTATTATTTTAAAAGGTTTTCAATCAAACTTCGACGCTGCTCCATTGATACGAACATTTTGGATGTGAGGATCAGAATATAAAAAATAGAAACTATAATGAAGAGATCAATCATATTGCTTCAATTCTCTAATTATGTCTACCCTTCTCTTTTTTCATATGTATTTCCATATTGGTCACGTATCAATTGAGGTGCTTGAATACGAGCAAAACGTTGAGGAGAATCATTACGACCCTCATTTTCTGAATTTGCAAGTCTGCAAAATTGGGAAAAAGAAAAAAAAGTTATATTTTATCTTTAATTAACCTGTTTTCTCTTTCATTATTTTGTTGTTCAGCATATATGGGACGAGCGCCATGACCAATGTGGTGTTGTTCGCTACCTTCAGCTTGTTGTCTAAGTTCTTGTGCTTGCTGCTGACGGACTCTTTGCTCTTGGAGACGTTGCTCATGAGCTTGTTGCTCACGCAGACGTTGTTCTTGGACTCTCTGTCGTTGCTCAAGTTGACGTTGTTTTTGTTGTTGATAATATTGTTGCTGTTGTTGCATATATTGTTGTTGCTGATAACTATAGGAGTCAAGGGAGCCTCGGGATTCAGTTCTGAACGAAGTTGAAAACGGAAAAACACTTGTAAACAATACCTCTGTTCGTCATAAAAATCATTTGAAATTTGATTTCGTCTGTAAATGCAAAAGAAAGAAATTAGGTTTGTGAAGAAAACAGAAATGTTATTTGAATTGAAGAAGGCAAACCTCTCGTCCAATGAAGAAAGTCTGGGAAAAGCTTGGTAAATAGCAGCCGCTGGAATCTGAAATCTCAATCCATTTCAATGGTTATCGTCGTTATGTAACGAGGAAAAATTATTTTTTTTATTTAAAAAAAAAGAAGGAAAGACCACATATCTTTGACAAAAGGCAAAAGAATGTTCATGAAAAAGCATGTCAAGCAAAGGTGAATTGAGAGAGAGAGAGAGAGAAAGAGTTAGGGGAATATTCTAAACGGCAAGTCTAGCCACTAATCCTGCTTGTACGAGAAGTTAAAGAGTTCAACAATAGAACTAACAGTTGTATAAAAGCTTTCTTGAAAGAGGAATAGTTCATGGACAAAAGGGAAAAGGCGTTATGTACATGGAAATACAAGCAATTTTAATCTTCAACTTTCAAAGTATGCTCTGATCTATATAAGCTAAGCTATCTGACTTATAAGCTGTGCGGGAAGGGGGTTTAAATATATGAAATGAAGCAATTAACGATAAAAAAAAATAAAAATAAAAAAAAGAGAAGCAAAAAACCGACCAAGTTGTTATTAACATAGGGAAAACAGGTGGTTTGCTAATAAAAACGGGTTCAAGGCTAGGTTGATAAGGGGGAGTTAGCATGAGCTGCAGAGTAAGCTCATTCCCTTAATAGGGAACGGGTTCATAGACATGAGCGTTGTACAGCATGGGAGGACTCACTCCTGGTTTACGACGAAGAAGCCAGATACGTTGAGCAAACTCTTCAGGACCTGTCACCTAAAATGGATCGCAAGTGTTATAAAATTAATGAAGCCAGTCGTCTTGAACCTCAACAAAGCTCTTCTCTTCTGAATCGCGTCCACTAACTCCTTGATAATTATGATTTTGAATACGAGCATCACCATAAATAACCTTAAAAGAAGATATTTGAAATTGAAAAGAACAATCACCTCTTCTTCTGGTCCGTCGTATTTGGCAATGCGATGCTCATGAAAGCCGAGGGTGCTTTTAGCATCCAAATGAGCTTGAGTCCATTCAAATCTAAAAATTTTTATAAATTCCTCATCTACTCAATCATTTGTAAATTGATAAGAGCGTATGTATGATAAAACAAATGATACGAAAAACTCTTCGAGTAGTTTTCTCAGATACTTTTTGGTTGGCAGCAGAAAAAAAAAACTTTTTTCCCTTCTATCTTCTCTCTTTCTCTCTGCTAGACTCCAAAAAGGTGTCAACTTACGGATTCTCATTTTGTGGACGGAAACGGCTACGGCTCAATACTCGGAAACCTCCACAAACTTCAACGATTTCCTTATCCAGTCCAACAAACCAAGCACATACACGGCCATCTGAAATAACTTCTATTGTTCTCTCAAACTACTTTCATTCGTTACCATCTCTAATGGTGGCATGTCCAAATGCTTCATAATGAGTATTTCCATAACGAGTACGAGTTATCCTATAAACCAAACATTATATAAATGCTTTCATGAATATAATATGCTATGTTACTCACCAATAAGCTATATATCCATCAGCTACTGGAGCTTGATCGAATGTCAAGAAATCCGAAGTTTGACGGTTATCCTTTAGTGAGCCATCATATCCAATAGTTGTCCAATAATCTTCTCCTATGAATGAACCAGCTCCAGTACAACGTCTTGGACGAATTTCTAATGGTTCTGGCTATAATTGAAACAAGTTATACTATCTATCTATATATAGGTTATATCTAACTTACGCGCTTCAACTCCTTATATGAGCATCTTCCAGCAAGTACTGTTGGAACAGCTAATAGGATGAGAGCTATGGATGATATCAGACTACGATTTCTCATCACTGAAAATCATTGTGAATATGAGCATTATGTGGTTAAACATAAAAATACAAAAAAAATGAACAAAAAAAGTGAAAAAAAAAACGAATTTTGATTACAAACATGGGAACACACACATACAGAGACACACACGAGTGATGATTGATTGTATTTTGTAAATGATTTGAATAAATAATATAGTTGAATGAATGAAATAGATATTGCAATCTTATCTTTCATTCTATCATTAAGCTGCTTTATTGAAAAAATGATAAAAATTAGAATTTATTAAGATATTTAATTAAGCTAACAATAGTCTGTCTACGTATGTATGTAGTCTGTATACGGGTTCATCTCTCTCTCTCTTCCTCTCTCTCTCTCTCTCTCTCTGTGCATGTAAGTGTGTGTATGTATGTGTGTGTGTGTATGCTGCAAGAGATTTATAAGTTGAGAGCATTAACCACAAAACTTATGTAATGATTCGTTTAATGATATGATGAATGAATGAATGACACCAATTGATCAGAACAAATATGGTCATGAAACAATAAAAAGATTCTATTTTAAATTTGCTTATCGACCACCGAAATTCTATACAGTTTATTCTAAAATTCACGTCAAATTCCACGCATTTTTCATTTTTGTTTATTGAGAAAGATGATGAGCGGTTGTGTTTCATTACCAATTAGATATACATATGTATATTAAAATCAATTAGATATAAACTATTAGATAGAAAGAGAGATAGGGAGATAGAGAGGGAGAGAGAGAGAGAATGAGAATGATAGCTTCTGTAAGATTTCATTTCATTTCCGGAAAATGAATTGAAATTCTACCGAATTCATACAAGTTAAGATAGATAGAGAGAGATATACACAAACATACGCATGCAACGCAAGCAGGCAACTACATAAAGACTTCGAAAACGTAGATCAATTGAATTAGTTTTTTGACTTTTTTTTTTTTGGCGCCAAGCCCTGAAGATTTTTTTATATTTAAAAGAGAAAGGGGGAGGAGAGAGAGAGAGAGCTAAAAGAGCTCAAGAGATGATTCATGAAAAATGATTTAAAAACGTAAATTTTGAAATGTGAGAAGAATCATTCCAATTATGTTCTTATCTGATAGTACTATGATAGATGAAAAAGGAATGTATTTTGTGTGTGTGTGCGAGAGGATGTAAGAGGATGGTAAATGGGTTGGAAGAAGCTTATTCATGAAAATGGAAACGACTAAGATTAATTTGTGAAAAGATGAATTAGGCTGTTGAAACTGTTAGGAAAGGTTATGTCTTGATGAATGCTTAGAAGCAGATGTTGGACGTCAGTTGTCGTCACAGATTCTAGGGTAGAAGCCCTTTTTTGATGATCCAGCATGCGCATAAAGCACTCCATGTGCCATGAATGAAATTGAAAGAATAAAAGAGTATGAAAAGGAAATGTTTGAAGAATCTTCTCTGACTCATGAACTGTGAATTTGAAGAGAGAGAGAGAAAAAGCAACAAAAAAATAAAATTTTTTATAAGAAGTGAGGGGGGGGGGTGATGTGTAGAAGAAGAAAAGGAACAAGAAGAAGAGAATAGGAAAAGCGAGAGAGAGGTCTCACAATTTGTTTGGAAGAGAAGAAAATGATTATCAGTTGGAAAGCATTGAAAAAGAATTGTTGAAGCAATAAAATGCCATACAAGAGATATGAGAAAAGAATTCTTTTAATTACCTAAATAGGAGTTTGGTTTTGTGATTGAGATGAAAATTGAAACAAATCTTCTTCTTTCTTATCACATACTTTCACCGGCTTAGCAGTATAATCCCTTCATTGCAGACCTGTCATCAGTAAACCCACGGAAAAGTCAGTGAAGTGATGCCATTGACGTGCCTATTACCATCAAAATTAATTTTTCTGCATTTCTCAACCATCTTCATAATTTCAAAAATTCAAAACACATTGTAGCTGACGCAAAGCTTGTAATTCTCAAAAAATTTCAAATTCCGGCTCGTCCTACCGGTATGTATGAGGTGGGGGCAAACGAAAACTGCGCCGAACGCATTTTCCAGTCAACTGCAGATATCGTTTCTTGAATGTTATTTGAATGTCAAAGAGTGTAACATCTACAGTCATATATGGCTCTCCAAATTTGGATAAGATTCTTCCCAAAGATGGTTGGTAAGGTCTAAGGTTAAATTCTTCAAATCTCTTGAACTTTGTCATTTAATTCCGGAAGTGAATGATAAGATGACGTTGGAATTTGGTTTGAACGATCCATCCAGAATAACCATTTTTGTAATTTCAATTTTTTCGCCGGAAAAATTCCATCAAGGTGTATGTTCATACCTTTGTATTAATTTCGCAATTTGCTCTCTCACGCCCCCCCCCCCCTGTCCTCCCTCTCATACACACACCCTTCCTCTGAAAGCGCATCATCATCAGTTTGATTATATTTTGGGAAAAAATTAAAGTATTTTAATCAATATTGGTTTATGTTTTATGAGGGAACAGAGAGAGGACATCTGAGACAATTGACCCTTTGGCATTCCTTTTTTCAAATTGTGTTTTCTAGCAAGGGCACTTTACTACTTTTCTATGGAATCTCTTCAATTTACGGACTGTCTCATCTCCCCTATGGGGCAATCACATGGCCCTACTTGCGGACGTGTATTGATCCAAGTTGGCCCCAGAACTAGGACAAAACATTTGTCATTTTTTCACTTAATGCCTTGAAGATACATTCAAAGTAATGATATTTATTATATTTGATTTATATTATGACGTTTTTCAGAAGATATAATGACTTCGACACCCGGTACATCGAATGTTCAGTTGCATGATAATGATATTTCGTCTTCATCATGTAATGCCATGCGATGGGCCAGAAAACCTTGGAAACATTTAGGCTATTTTACAAGAGATGAAGCTGTTGAAGTTGTTTATTAACAGCATTTTTTATTTTTTATTTTCATCGTGTAGATTCTGGCTGATCGTTTTGTTTCACAGAAACGACGAGTTCAAATGAGAGGATGTGTGAGAATCATATACTATTGTCATGTTCAACGTAGCAATGGTTGTCGATATGAGATGAATGTTTGTGTTCCAAACAATTCTGAAGAGAAGGTAATAAGGAACAGATGCTTTGATGATGTCATACATAGGATTTTAGTTACGTATTGACGATTTTAATGAACATACTTGTAATCATGAGGAAGCTCGATTGAAACGTCGAGTAAAACCTCACGTAGCAGATTTTGATCGTCCTTTCAAAAAATCTAGTAAACTTTCAACTACACATGACTCTTTACATGATAATGGTAAGCTGGTTTTTATCCAATGAGATCAAACTGCCCTTTTGCGCAGATTCGAGCTTTCTGCAGGATCCTGTCCTTAGCATGTTGCACAAAATAGAAGAGCCTACCGAATCAAATGTAAAAATCAAATTTCTTATTCAATGAACATTCAAATCAATATTGAAGGAAACGAATGAGTCGGCTCTATCAGCTTCATCTTCAACGAATGAGCATTTAGCGAACTTGTTCACTAATTCCCTTATGAGTGCTCGCCAGGTACGTGTGTCAATTGTTATTGTGGAGTGTTGTTGTTGTTGTTGAAGAAGCTGATATGGAAGGAAGTGGACATGGACATCTTGGATTTCTCTAACCGATCGGATGGAATATACAAGTTCATATTTCATGTGGTCGATAAGGTAATATATTTGACTTTACAAAATATCATTTGTGTCTCAGGGGTCTCAATATTCACATGCATCACCGTTGACGTCAACAAACAATGAGGAGATCTGTGAATCAATCAAAACTTTATTTTTTCAATTTGGCCCACCTGCCACGATATATGTTGAAGACACTTATAAAGGTGCATATTACATTCTATTCATATGAATCAGTTTTTCTTTGATTTCAGTTCTTGAAGATGAGTTGCGAAAATTCTTTCCGAGTTTGAGTGTCATGCCACATTGCAGTCGCAGAAAGTCTGTATCAGCACCTCAATTACTCAGGTTATACCATTCTTGGTTATTCATGTAACTATGAACGATGTAGAAGAGAAGCTGTCATGATGAAGGACAGAATATTAGCTTGGCTAATGGAGAACAACACGACAGAATGGTCAAAAAATCTGTCATTTATAAAATATTTGCATAATACCGAATGGCTTGATGAAATAGGTACGTCTATAATTCATACAACTCGCTATTTCAAGGACTTTCCAGACTCAACACCGTTGGATTTGTTTTTTGGTCGACACGAGGAAAGCACCAATGGGCTGTTTGAAGACTGCTCCAGCGAAGTATAGCTTGATCAGAATGATTCTCAAAGAATAAAAGAATTTCAATATATTTTTTATTTTTTTAATTCTTTTAAAGATAATTTATCAATAAATATCTACTTTCATATACTTTACGCTTTTTTCAGTTTGAATAAAGTTACATGAAAACCCTGACTTGTTGGTGTGTAGTCCGATAAAGAGAGAGAGAGAGAGAGACAGAGATCTTTACAATTTCAAATCTAACCTTGGGAACGTGAGGTTAAAGTGATAAATTTAAGAGGAGCTGGTAGTAGGTAGGAGGAGCGGGGGGGGGGGAGTAGGAAGAAGCATGGATGTGGGAGGATGGGAGTCAGATGGATATAAGGATTTCATATCTTGAAACTCAAAAACTCCATAAGGATCCTGTTATTAACATCTATTTAAGGTAATTATTTGATCACAGATAGATTAAAGTAAACTCTTAATTCATATAATATTCTCAGCATTTTTACAGATCGTCTTCTTCCTCATCATCGTCTAAATCGCAAACGTCTACTATCACGTCATCTTCTATTTCGTGCAGTTTCGGAATATCAGACATTCGACTCTCATCTGCTAGGCTTTGATCAGGTATAGCACTTATCTGCAATGATATGAATTATTACATCTGCAGTTTAATTGAATGCAAACGTTTTGTGCATCAACTGGTAAGGTTTGTAAGTTTGGTTTTTAGACTCACCTCAGTAAATGTTCGTCCCCTCCTTTTATCTGGCCTTGTACGAGAAGCATTGGTAACAACTGCGTCAGTCACATGTCTTTGCCGTTTTTGAGCAACTGTCGGCCGTGGAACGGGGGTGCTTATGGTCAAAGCTAAAGCTTGATCTCCATCGCTCAAACATCTGAGACAACAAGATGAATTAGAAATAACTCGAGAAATCAGTGTCTCTACCTTCGAACATCACGATGCTTTTGGAAGACAGACAGACCAGCTTTTGATTGGTGGCGTGTGCTCATATGTCGTGTCAAGACATCGCGTCTTCTCTGGAAATAAATGATAATATTTGAAAATTATAAATTGCATTTGTTACCGCTGCATAAGGGCAGATTGTGCAACGGTATGGCTTCTCATCTGTGTGCGTTCTTCGATGCGTTCGCAAATGGTCTGATCGAGAGAAGTATCTTCCACAGGCAGTACAACCGAATGGTTTCTCTCCGGTATGCCTCCGAATGTGTCTATAAATATATATTATTGAAGAATGAATTAATTGAATAAAGGGAAAGTAGGCATTGATAAGCTCTTCACTTTCATTGTCCTTTTCTCATCTTCTCCCCCACACTGTGTCAGTAATGAAATAGGATTGAGAGGAGTTATTATCATTTTTCAAGTTAAAATGTTTGCTAATTGCCTACAGAAATAAATTTATATTATCATTTGCTCCCATATATGTTCGTTTTGCATCTTTCTCAGTCGAACAAAATACATTCCATGTTTGCTGACTTCTATCTTTTTTCTTTTCTTTCAAATGTGTTATCTAAATGTTTGAGAAGTCAGCTTTGCTTTCGCCCACCGCTGCTCTGAACTCCTCCCACGACTTATCATGAGATACTAAGGTTTGAGGTTAAAAATAACCGGAACTTACCTAGACAATATGTCTGGTCGACGGAAATCCTTGTTGCAGATATTGCAATAGTATGGCTTCTTCTCATCTTCTTCCATTGTTTCTAATGATGTGGATAATGGCGATTTCTGAATGGGAGAGACAATAGTAAGAATGTATTGAAAATGAATGCAATGGCATTAGCTTACTTCTTTGGGTGAACGATGGAAAGTAGGAGAGTTAGTTGTAAGATGGAAAGAGTCTGAAGATGACGATAATGGTGACGAGAGTGATGGAGAAAGAAGTGAATGTCTTGAACCAGTTGGATAGATGGCGCCGAGTAACATCTGCATTTAAAGACTGACTTAACCAACTTTTACGATTCAAAGAAATACCGCGCTGGCTCCTTTAGCAACACGTTCATCACCAACAGCGACAGAGAGAGGACCAATAAGAGCCGATGGAGTACCAGTTGATGAGCAAGCTAAAGCTGTATTGGGACTTCTTGGAGAAGAAGAAATTTTTGGCTGGGGAGTAGTGTTTACAGTCGGTGTGATATGTATCTGAAACCAGAGTGTCGTTTGATAAAAGAAATGCTTCTCAATCTCACTGTTTTGAGGGACGTGCTCTGAATGACACTTTGTTTCCTTTGTAATACTGGATGTCCCCCGAAGTCATTTGACTTTCGTACCTGAAAGGGAGGGGGGCATAAGAATCAAATGATGGATTAAAGGTTTACTTGGTTAAGAACGTGGCTAACGCTGTCACTTGCGGACCTTGTTGCCGGACAAGGAAATGGAGGGCTTGTGGCTAATGAAAGTTCCAAACTGGGAGCTTTAGTTAATGGCACATCTGGAGAAAAATAAGGCTTTCTTTTATAATTCTCTTAAGTACTTACCATCACAACGTTGGAATGGCACATGATCAAAGGTGAATCTGCTGTGATTCTGTGTAGATGAGGGGGTACCGAATGCTGAGTCGTGAACTGTTAATGGCGATAAGCCTGGAGGCGATAATGCCAACACCGATGAAATTGAGGAAACAGAATGATCTATCAAGTTGAATGCTGATTTGTAACTAAAAAAACAAAAATTACTTGATAGATGAGTAGGTGGAGAGAACTGAATGGCAATTCCACTATCCGAGCTTGATGAGCTTGTTCGTTCGTTTTTGCTTTCGTTACGATATTCTAGCCAGCGGTGATGAACTGTGGACATCAACTGAAGCAGTATTATAATGAAATGAAAATGACGAACTATCTTGAATGAATCATTTCGGAGTTTGTAATAGGTATGCATCAGAAGAGAAAGAGAGAGAGGGAAGGGTATTGGAAGACAGAGAGATACAGCAAGAGAGAGAGAAAGCTGCGAAAAGATGACAAAGAGAGAGGTAGAAAAAGAGGGAGAAAAAGATAGAAAATTTAATTAATATTTTTCTAAGAAAATTCAGAAAGGTCTTATCAAAGAACTCGTGCTGGGACGTTGTTAAAAAGCACGTGACGATAGCCGAATCTGCTAATCAGATGCGGTTAATTTCATTTCAATAATGACAATGACTAAGACCAACCAATATCACTATCAAACTTTTAGCATAAATAATAGTAAAATGGTTAATTGAATAAGGAAGCAATGAGATACACTCAATCACATCTGAGTATGCAAAGCAGCTCACGTAAGCACGTGGAAGATCATTCCGATCATTTCATTGTGATGAGTTAATCTGAACTGAAACAGATGACACCAATCGACGTCTGTTCATTCAAAGTGTGAAACGATTATTAACATCGAAGCTTATGGTCTAACCTAACTGAAGAGAAATCAGTAAGAAAAAAAGAAACTGGACTCTGGTGAGTCAGAGGAGAAAGTTCTTTGGTCGAAATAATGGTTTAGCGGTACCAGGCAAAAGATGAAAGAAAAACCCTAAGGCAACTTCTTGACTCACATGCTATTCTTTCATCATATTTTCGTTCGATGATAATGAGCAAGAAAAAGTTTTTTTTACTCCTACTCCCCTTGTCAGGGAGGGAGAGAGAGAGAGAAGGAGAGAAGTGAAAACGAAGTAGCTATTGAATCAAATATGGTATGAGAACGTACTTTCTATTTTGCTCATAAGATTCTATAAAGATGGTCTTCTCTCATTTTGTAAGAACTTATGATTACTTGAGAACATATGAGAATAGATAGAGAGAGAGAGAGGTAGAGAGAGATAGAGAGAGAAAGAGAATGAATACATATAAACAGAGATGAAATGGATGTCTGAGGTAAAGAGAAACATGGAAAGAAAGCGAATAATTACTAGGACAAGGAAGAAGGCGGAATATCTGTGATAACAATGATAAAATCGGTGAAAGTTGTAGGTGGAAACGACCACAAGCGATAAGAATATTTTAGCATAAAGATTGGTTTCTGACGTCACTTCTTGATACTTCTTACCATGTTTCACATACAAGTTTCTCAAAAATGAATTCTAATTCTCTTATCTCTTTGTTCCGTTTTCATAATGTTTGCTTAAGACGAATGGTCTGAGCTGATGATGCTGCTGATATGCGGAAATCAAATTGAGTCAATTGGCTGCCCTTTTCAATAATCAAATGTCATGGTCAATGCTTTTGTTCTCATTGCTTTAATGTTAATCCAGGTATTTTCATTTTTGAATAAAGAGAGCAAAAGAGAGAGAGAGAGAGAAAGATGCATGCGTAATGGAGAGAGAGGAAGTAATAGAGAAAAAAAACAGAACAATATAGAATTGGAACGAATAAGTGTATGAGAGAGAGAGAGAGAGGGAGTGAAAGAAAGAAATGAAAAGCGGATGATAGATAAGAGCTACTGAGAATGAAGGGCAAAAGCCATATTTGCATCATTTCCTGAAATGGTCGATAAAATTGATAATGCATGACAATGAACTTGGCGTAAATCAGAGAAATTGAAGCTTGTAAGCTATATTGTATGATAAGAGATAGGAGGGGAGGGCGAAGATTTTTTATTGATGTCATGCGAACATTTTTGCATGACAATTGGCACCCTCTCAGTCATGTAAACATTGTAAGAGAGTAATGCAGACATCAAACTGCAAACAAAGCTTCATTCTTCTAAGCTTCTCTCAATTTTTGATGAATGAAAATGGCTTGGTTGATTATAGAAGTCAGGTGAGAAAGGTGAAACTGAGAGTTGCTAGGCGATTCATGTTTTTTCATTGTTTTAAAAGTCATCAAATATTTATAATGCATACTTACTTCAGGAACATTTGTTGTTCGAGATGGTGATGGACGATCTGGACTTCCGCCATTAACACAGACAATTGGTAACGGCGGAGGAACACGTGCTAGCTTCAGAAGCAATGTTGGCGATGTTGTATCTGTGGATGGAGCAGGAGCTTGTTGCTCACTCATCACAGATAGATCTGATGAAAAGCACCTATATGAAGCAATTGAATATGGTGTGAAAGGCTGGTGTTCTATATAAACTGAGCCGGAAGCGTGTGTAGTGAACGTAGTCGAAAGAGCTCTGAAAAGAATTGATAGATGAGATGTGATTTGACTTAATATGAGAAGCATAAATTAGAAATTCATGAGAATGAAGT